TTATTTTTCGTTAAATGAAAAGAGAATTTTAGATAGCTGATTTGCCTAATTAAATACTTATTTTAAATATTTTTTCACAGAATTGACAGAAAGCGAATTAAAAGATTTACTTGTTAATTCTTATAAAATTGGATTTAAAAATGATATTATGAAAGCTAGTTTAGAGGGTATTAATAAATTAACTTGTAATGGATTTACTGGCGATTTGTTAGTTTTCATTAATTATTTAAATAAAAAATTTGAAAAAACAAAAATATTTAATGAATGGGAAAATATTAAACAAATTATTTTACTTATAATTGATGGATTAAACGAAAAGTATATATCTATGGATTTTATAATGTCAAGAGTTATTTTATGTAAAAATATGTTATTTTCCCTCAAAGATTTTTCTTTAAAAGAAATTTCAATTCAAAATTATTTAAAAGAAGAATTGGAAATTTTAAAACAGAAAAGTTTTGTAAAACAATCATTAAAGAAAGGAATATTAGCTATGCAAAATGAATTACATTCAGAAATGATTTTGGAATTATTGGAAGAAAGGCCCGATTTTAAAGCAGAAATGGAAGGTAAATAATTAATTAATTTAGAAAAGGGAATATAATTGGGAGGGGATTGTAGAAATTCTTTAATTAAAATAAAAATAATAATTTAGTAATAATTTTTAAACATTTTAGAATTAAAAGGTGAAGAAAAATCTAATTTTGAATATTTAATTAAGCAAACAAATGAAAAGGAAAATAAAAATTTAATTAAAGAAAAAAATGAGGTTATTATATTATTTAAAATAAAATAAAATTTTAATTAAAAATTTATATAGAATTGCCCTAGAATCTTTAATCGAATAGCCAACCTCAATAGAATGAATGCCCTTTTGAAAAGTAATTGAAAAATAAAATTGCTGGCCACTCAATTTAAATTTTAAGATAAATTATTTCCTCCATTCTACTTATAGAACTAATAAAATAATTTTAAAATTAAAGGCTATTAAATTTAAGGAAATTAATGAATATAATCGAATTACTTATAATTGTCCAAATAATCCAAATGATAATAATAATGAAAAGCTTGACAATGATGAACAAGGTTTTATTCACAAATAATGGGAAAAATTATATAAAAATAATGTCTGTGTCAGAATTTATTAAAAATATAATTTGGGCATTTTTCGATGCGACAAAATTTTAATAAAAATGAACAAAAATTAAAAATAAATTAATAAATGACGAAAATAAGATAAAAAAATTTTTTAAGTGGCTATCCTCTATTTTTTTAATTAATTAAATTAGAAGAAAATAATTTAATATTTATTTCTAACAGATTATCTATATGTACTTTCAACTTACAAGGAATTTCTATTAAAAGGCCCTGACACAGATCCAACATCATTAAGAAATTTAAAAATATTAAAATTTACTTCATTAATGTTTAGTTTAATAATATTAATTAACAAAACAGTGCAAGCATTTTATTTAAATAAAAGAAGCAAAAATTTTCAAGAGAGGTTAAAAGAATGGGAAGAAAATATAGATGAAGGGGGAAATAAAAAATTATGTAGAATTTATTTATTTTCAATAAATTTAATTGAGAATAATAATAAATATTGGAATGAACAATTAGATTCTTTAAATAAATTGGTTGGTAAATACATAAGTAGAATTATAAAAATAAAATGGCAAATAAATAAAAAATTAATTCCTTCTAGAATTGTTCCAAATATCAAAAAATGAGAAAGAATTAATTCCTCTCATACATAGAGAGATTAATTCTTTTATTTGGCATAACAAAATAATTTTGAGACAATTTTTTTCTGTTTTTCCAAAAAAGTTCCATTATCATTCACCCTTCAACTAACAATCGAAGTCCATCAACGGCCTCCTTTAAGTGTGTAAGGTTAAAACACCGAACAGACATAGTCTTCCTCGTTTTCCTTTCACCCCTTTAGGAATGGATCATTAGTTTTGATACCGGATATTTTTGTCGAATTAATTTAAATATATATAAATTTAGAAGGAACATATCAACATAGAAATTACAGACAAAAATTCAATTAATTGTGATAATGAGGAATCGGCAAAAATGATCTCAACAAAATTATTGTCAATAACAAAAACAGAAGAAAATCATATTTTTTGTATTACTTGGCTAATAAATAATTTTGAAGAAGCAAGACAATTCTTTTGTGGAGCTGATATTGAATATAAAGATAAACTTGTTTTATTAATTACAGAAGAAGGAATTTTGACTTTAGAAGTTTATTATCCTTATGTTCTTAAATTAGGTAATTATTATTAGATTATCTGGTAATTTTCGTTATATGCACCGCAAAACTTTGGTTGTACTTTAAAACCTTTCTAATTATATATCCTTCGATTCGTCTCGTCCATCTAAGTCGAACCTGCGAACCAAGATATAAGTCCCAGAAAATTGAAAACCATGGGGGGCAAGCCGATTTTTGGGGTAGAAAATTTTTGGGGTAGGAAAATAACCATATAATATAAATGGTTGCTCATTCTAAAGAGCTTGTCGATGATTTTAAACAGAATTACGGCCAAATGTATCACTGCTAACAAGAATTTGAGGTATATAATGGAAAAGTACCAAATAGAAATTAATTTTAACGAAACTAGCAACTAATGATTAAAAGATTTTTTTAAATTTTAGATAAAATGCAATCTTCTGCAAAGCTTTATTTGTACCAACTTTATGCTCAAAGCATTTACAATTCCCCAATTTCTATTAGGGAATCTATTAGGAAAAACTCTATTAGAGCAGAAATGAGGCTAATTGCCGAAATTATATTTAGAGGATTTGCAAGAATTGAAAAGTTAGGAGAACAAAATTTGTTAGAAAATAAAGAATTAATTGAAATTATAAAGAAAAAGACAAAATGGTTAAGGCAAATAATTTTTGAAAATGCCTTTATTTCCGAAGAAAAAATTTGTTTAATGAATAGGTAAATAAACGAATTAAATAATTTTTTAATTTTTATAAACTCAAAATGTTGAATATTTTAATATTAGAGAATTTACTTATAAAAAATTCAACAAAATCTTTTAATCACTAAAATAAGATACATATCTGTCAGCCTTACCCCATCCAACGATGTATTTTTAAGTAAAATTAACATATAAACAGTGATTATTAGTTAGTGGATTCCTTGGATTGTCGGGTTTAGAATTAACCGAAAACCTCGTATTTCTGTTAAATTATCATACTTATGTACTTTAGAAAACATATCCGACGATACAAATAAAAATTATCTTCAAACCTAGAATAATTTATACATTTATGGTTAACTTTTAAATAAATAAAAATTTAACAATTTTAGATTTGAAAAAATTGTGGCTAAATTAATATATAAAGATTTATTTGAAGATGAAATTTATGATAAATATAATTTAAATATTCAACAATTTAAATTGTGGGATGGAAAGGGTTGCTCTAATTTAGTTGAACAAAAAGAAGAAATTAATTTAATTCGAATTGAAATAGAGAAACATCACACTAAATTTTTAATTAAGGGTGAAAAAATTAATGAACTTAATCTTGTACAATTAGGAAGAAAATGTAGAATAAATAAATTAATTCCTAATAGTTTTAAAATATTTGGAGAAGATGGTAAAATTTATATTAAAAATTAATAGGGGAAAAAGTGGAGGGGGAGTATTTTACTAGGGGAATAATGTAAAAATTAGGATAAGAGAGATGGTTAAGTATATTTGAAAAAATTGTAGCTAAATTCTAAGTTGATGTGTATGGCTCCGAGAACGAGTCTTTACCGAACAAGACTCGATAAAATTTTAAAGGGAAAAATCTGGCTTCTTGGCCGTCCAAAATTCTCGAACGTCGACCCGACTCGAAAACTCCAACCCTATTCATAAACTGATTAGGCAAAATTTATCAAGCTAATTTGTTTCATAATAATTAATAGGAACTGGCTTAGAGAATATGTTTTTTTGTATTTTCGAATCAGTAGTTAAATGATCTTTTAATAAGTAATTTTAATAAGTTAGCAGCAAAATGGGTAATGGAAGGAAGTAGCCATTTAAAATCCAAATAAAATAGATACATTACATTTATTTTTTAAGCATTAAACAGCCTAGATGATCATTTAGATCATTTCTACAATTTATTATTTGAGCAAGATAAATCCTTTGTATATTTAAATAGAATAGCTGCAAATTATTTTATTTGGTATAAATGGGTAGATGAAATGCTTAAAAATATTTGTGAAAAAAATAATAAAAATATTTTGTCAACTTGGGAATCATTAGAAATTAAATCGAAAATAATAAATAATTATGATTGTATTTTTGATATAAATGATGAAGATAGTGAAGAAAAACAATTGGAAAGACTTGGAAATATTGAACAATTTTTGTTAAAAATACAATTTAAAATTAAAAGTTTTATTTTAAATTTACAAAATAAAAAAACAAAAAAAGTTGAAAATAAAAATGATTTTAATTATTGGGAAAATTTATTAAATAAATATTTGTTTGAAGAAGAAGAATTGAATATTAAAAATTGGAAAACAGTAAAGATTGAATATAAAAATTGGATAAAAGAATTAAATTTAAAATGGTTGTTAGAATTTTTAGATGAAAATAATGTCAAAAAAGGTTTTAATGAAGAATTGGTTGAATATTTTAAGAAAAAAATGAAAAAAGGTTTGGCGACTTTAAATTAGTTTTACAAATTCGCACAAAATATTAGAAATCCAAGAAAATTTTTTTGTTTTGTAACTAAAAATAAAGACAAAAATCCAGATAATAGTTCGTGAAAATTTCCCTTAATTCCGGTAATCGCGTTCTCAAGTTAACAAGATCTCTTCTAGCATACCTGGATTTTTACCTAAAATTATTTCTATGTAATAAATATCTGGGATTTAATAGGATAGACCCTCGCACTTCTAGTGCGTTTTGAAATAAAGATTTAATAAAATAAAATAAAATTAAGAATTTAAAAGCGAACAATTACGAAAATCACTTCCATTAATGGTTGGGGATAAAATTGAAGATTTGGAGAAAATAGCAAAAGTGTTGGGTTTAGAATTTGACCCAGCCGATTTTGAAGAAAAAAATAATGATAGTGATTATTTTGATATTGAAAGCAAAAGTAGTAATACAGTTTTGGATGAAAAAGAAGAAGAAAATAAAATAAAGAATGAAAATATTTTTAATAATAAAAATAATTCAAAAAAATTAAAAAATAACAAAAAATATTTAAAAGAAAAAAAGAATAAAAATAAGAAAAATAAAAAATCAAATAAAAAATCAGCAATTAAAAATTATGCAAAATTATATGAAAATATTAAAAATAAATCTGTTTCAGAAACAAAAATAGAAGAAGAAAATAATAATTCTGATAGTGAAAATGAATTATTAGCTGAGGAAAATGAGAATACGGATAGTGAAGAAGTATGTACAGACTTTGATATTTTAAGTATTTTCTATAAAATATTAGACTCTCATTAATTAAAAATAATTTTTCCTTTTATTTTGGTGAAAATATGTTAAAATTAAAAAAATATTAGGCTGGTAAAGTTTGACTCTGAGGGGTCTCAGTATCAAGTCCCACCCAATTTTTTGCTATTTTCTGTGATGGGTTACCGTATATACTCTATTAATTACCCTGGGTAATTATTGCTTCGAACTCTCACTTGAGAGGGTAATTGATAGGGGTGGGGTAATTAATAGAGGTTATTTTAGGAAGGCTAATTATAAGTACTTTTAAGGGAGAATCACTGTTTAGCCTTTCACTGGAGGAGGTAACTAATAGATGAGGTGTCGTTATTTTTGGGACGGGCTCACAGGATCAAGTCCCGCCCAAGTCCCATCCATCCAAGTCTCATCCATCCAAGTCCCATCCAGATGGGCTAAGCCATTTACTCTAATTAAAAAGAATTAATTTAAATAAATTAAAGCTTTCACAGAATTCATTGGAATCTGAAATTGAAGAAGAAAGTCAATCATCATCTAAAAGCGAAAGGTCATTTTCTGTTGAAGGGGAATGTTCTACAAAGCCTTTCAATTCTGTTGTTGTTGAAGATGATTTAATGATTCAAGAAAATTTAGAGAAGAAAATTCAAAATTGTAATGAAATTATTATTTTAAAAAATAAAAAAGAAGAAAGTAGCAGTAGTTCTTCTTATTTTTGTGCTTTTGATCAAAAATTAGAAAAAAATAATTGGAAAACAATAACTAAAAATAATGGAGAAATAACAGAACAAAAATATTTTGATAATAATGATTGGATGGTTTGGGATTATTTAATTTTAATTTAAATAAATTTAATTTAGTTTTATGAAATTATTTCAAATAACAATCAAATTAAAGAATATAAACTTGCAAATGTAATTGATGGATTGATGAAAATTGTATATTTATGGGTAGATTTTTGTGTTAATTAAATAAAAAGGTGTTTAAGTTGTTCCAAAAAGAGATATTATATATTGACTTTGTGGGAAACTTAGAAAATTAAGATGTTCGGAGAAAAAGCGATTCCAATATTGACTTCCTTGATATTTTGTTTATTTCACCCTGTTGCTTCGGTTTTTAAATATTTTGTCTTACTTATACATATAGGTATGTCTCTGTCCAAATTCAATTTATCAGTTTTGCCTTTAGTAAAAAAATTTCGTTAACTAAATTTAATTAACTAAAATTTAAATTAACTAATTATTAATTCAAACTTTTTAGAATTCCAATACAAAAATTTTAATTGGAGGTTCATATTTATTAAATACAAGAACAAAATATTCAGATATAGACATTATAATAATTATTCCAGCTGAAGATTTTATTAATTTGGAATTAATTCGTGAAAAACAATTTTATAGTAATTTAGAAGATTGTAATAATTGTAACGATAATTCTTTTTATTGTTTATTATGTCAGGTAAATTTGATCGGAAAAAAATATTTTTAAAATAAAATTTTTAGGATTATAGAACAAATTTTCTTCGTAAAATTCCTGGGAGAGTTTCAACAATAAATTTAGAGTTTTTGGGACAACAATTTGATTTAATTCTTGTTGTTCTACCTCCACAAATATTTTTAGAATTAAACGAAAATAATTTATCTGTTAAAATATTTGATGGAATAATTGCTAATTTTATTGAATTAGTTGGAGGTTATTCAACTTTTAATGAAAAATCTAAACATTTGGGGATGTTGCTAGCTTTGTCTGGTTATTTTTAATTAATTAATTTTGTGAAATTAAAATTAATTTTATTTTTAGGTTATCGGGCAAATTTACGTATTTTGGAATTAATTAATGAAAAAGACAAAAAGAACTTTCAATTAATTGTGCTAATTTTGAAAGTTTGGGCAAAAAGTTTGTGTGGATATTTAATTAAATAATCCTAATAATCCTAGAAAAATCCTTATTGAACATTAATTACAAGGGAATTTCCTTCACCACCACAATTTATTAATTACATAAAAATAAATTCTCTTTAAAATGACATTTTCGAATTAAATTTAAAATTAAATAAAAATATATATTTTTAATATCAGAATTTAAACTTTTAATTATTTTTATTTTTAAACAGATAATTTTATTTATGGCAATACTTTTGGATTTCTTGGTGGAAGTTCAATTTCTATTTTGGCATGTCGTTTTATTATGTCTAATCCAAATACAACAATTATAAATTTACTTGGGAAAATATTTGAATATTTTTCAAATAAACAAATTATTGATGTTAATGGAAATATAAAGTATTTTTTAATTAAATTAAATTCTGTTTATTTAAATAATTTTAAAAAAGTGGAAAATAATGGGGTAAAGAATCTTGAGAAATAGTAATGTTTTCCAATGCCTTAGGAGGGGGTTAATTCGTCGGAGTTTCTGGTTGACGTTGTCTTAGGAACACCTGACTGGAACCATTTGTGAAGGAGTAGCTATATCTTTTATTTAAAATAGGGTATTCTGAAGAATATAATCTGAAGAATATTGCAGGGTTTCCAGATTGTTTCATGGCGGAGTTCGTTGTCGGGGTACAACTCTAATTTAAAATAACTTTTATTTTAAAAAATCAAAAAATGAATCTATCGGACAGTGGTGCAAAGTCATATCTTTTATTATTTTGCACGAGTTTTCAAAAAAGGAGGAAAAATAGGCCACTGACGGATATATTATAATAAAATTATTTATTTAAAGTTCTGTTCCAATGATTTTGGAATTAAATACTGATTATCCAAATATTAGACAATATTTGGATTGGAATATTCCAGATGAACATATAAATCGTTCAAAACAAATTCCTTCAATTTTCCATCAAAATTTAAAAGAAAATTTATATCCAATATGGCCAATTATAACGCCTGGATTTCCTACACAAAATTCAAATTTTAATATGAATATTTCAACGGCCAAAATTATTCAAAAAACAATGAGAAATGGTTGGGTTTTTTGTTAAATTTATTTTTGAAAAAAGAATTTTGGGTCATAAATTCTTTCCAAAAATAAAAATATATTTAAGGTTTAATAGAATTCAATTCAATTATAAATGAAATGGTAGAAATTAAAAAGAGAAGAATACCACCAATACCGTTCGAAATATTATGGAAAAATTGGTTAGAAGGAAGTCCTTTTAAAAATAAGGTATTTTAATACATATATCAATAAATTAATTCGTGTTTTTGAGTAGATTTATATATAATTCCATTACCATTTTTCAAGTTTTGTATATAAATTGTAAAGCAAAATCTAATTGAACCCCTATAAAATAAGCGTTTCTGAATCCCATATAATATACTTGCAAAATTTAAACTTATTACTATTAGTAGGAATATTATATATAGGTCTTAATTATTGTGAGATTAAAATTGACTGAATTTTAAGAATTAAAAAATTGCTTTTTCAATCAAAAATTTACAAAAAAAACAATCTTTTCAACAAATTAGATTTTCCCTTTTTCATTTTAGTTTCATAATTATTTGGCTATAATATGTACATATTCACCTAAAAGTAAATATGGCTCTTTATTTTGTGATTATGTTGGTACAAGAATTCGATTACAATTACTTTTTTCTATCGAAATTTTACAAAATATAGAATATTGCCATATAAATCCAAAAAAGCTTTTAAATAACCAAAAATGTTCGGATCAATTTAAATCTGAAAATGATGATTGGATTTGTAATGTTTGGATTGTTGGAATTGTCTTTAAAAATAATAATGAAAATAATTATTTAATATTTGAAAATGAAGGGAAAGAAAAACTTTTTGAATTTTCCTACAGAATAAAGTATGGAAAAAACATTATAAAATCAGAATGGGTTAATGAAATTAAACTTTTTGATTTAAATGTTATTAAGTATATTTGAAAGAAGATATTCTTAATTAAGAATTTAATTAATATAATATACCTATGTGTAATATATTTATATTACTGTTATAGTGCCCGGCTTATTTTGTCTAAATTATAATTGTTGAAAGGCTTCTCTAATTATTATTTCTTATTTAATATATTCACCAGATAGATAAGATTGTATTTAAATAAATTAAAGAAAGATTTCTTTTAAAACTAAGGTTTTTTTGTATTTTTTAAAAATTTAACTAATTAAATTTTTAGTAACTTTCTTAATTTTGTTGAGTATATTTTTTAATCATTTTTGCTTTAATTGCTTTCTTCTCAAAAGCCTTCGTTTTAGTGTTGCTAGGGATTCCATCTCTATACATAGATAAAGTATTTTTATATTTCTTTTTTTAATATTTTTTTGTAATTTTATCGATTTTTTAATATTTAAATTTTTTTAAATTTATTTAAAAATTTCTTTTAAAAATTAACTTCAAAAATTTGGGAATTTCTTAAACCATTTTTTAATCTATAGTTTCTAAATCTTTGAATTATTACTAGGTCGGGACTGGCTCAAAAGTTCGGGGCTCGGAAATCAAATTTTTTCGGAAATCGGAATTCTGTCCCACCTCTGCTAGGTAGTAAGTGAGGCATATTTTTTGCACCTTACTTTATTAAAAATTCTTTAAACTATTCATTAATAATGGGGGATATTTGAATAATTTTATATACCTATATTCTAAATATTTAATAAAAAATAAAAACAATTAATATATTCTATTAAAAATTTTGCTTTTGCGCAAGTAAAAGAAGAATTATTTAGTAACTAAAATACATATAACTATTAAATGGACAAATTTTCTAGATTATTTGTTTTGCTGCTATTCATTTCTTTATTCGCGCTAGTTTTATATTGGCCACCACAAACAGAAAATAAAAAAAAGAAAATATACCTTTACGAATGTGTACAAAATATTTATTGGATTGCGCATAAAAAATAATTATTTATTTATATTTATTTAATATATTTATGTTTTGTTCGAATGATAAAATTTTTTTATTTTATTTATTATTTCTTGAATATTCTTTTAAAAGTAGCAACAAATGTTTCAGAAAATCAAAAAAAAATTTGTGGAGAATTGGAGGTCTTTTTGTTTAGATTTTAATAGGGAAATATGTTAATAATTGGAGTAGTTCTAGATAGGGTTGAGATTTTCGAGTCGGGCCGACGGGCTTTTCGGGCTTCATTTTTATCGGATCAGAGTCTTTTTCAGGCCAAGATTCGAAGCCCGGCTATCTTTCGGATCGGACTGGACCCCCAACCCTATTTCTAGACCAAAAAGAAGTTTTTACAATTTGCAAGGAAATGGAATTAATAATTGTACTTACCTAATTTAAATTCCTATCCCATTCTAAAATTAAAAGATTATTTTTAAATTAAAAAATTTTAAAGATTATTTTCTTAATTAGATACATAAACAGCATCATATCAATCCAAACAACTCTGTTTTGTTGAGAATAGAAGAAGATCAGAAAGTTGATGATCTTAATAAATGTATTGAACGATGTTGCAACTTAACAAGTTTAAATTAATTATTTTATTCAAAATTAAAGAGAAAATAAAAAATTAATTTAAATTTTTTATTGTGTATTTTCCTCTTATTGTTAGTGAATGTAAATTCAAATTTAATTAAAAAACGTTTATTAATAGTTTTGTTCTCGTTTAATTTAATAAATTTGCTTTTAAATATTTATTTTTATTTAGATTGTTCTGCAATAACATTTACTGGATTTCTAACTTCAAATCTAAACTCAACAAATACACAAAAATGTTTATTATTTTTTTGTACAAACAACAGTTCATCATCTAATATTGGCGGCAGGTGCCATTTTACTAGAGGCACAAACGAAGAAATTAATTTTGGATTGCTTAGTGTGGAAATGCTTAGGGAAACATTTAATAATGTATTTGGAAGGATTTTTTCTGTTTAAATTAAATTTTTGAATAAATTCAGGAAACAAATTTATTAAATAAACATGAGAAAATAAATGGAGAAGATTTGCAATTGAATGGGGAAATTGAGGAAATAACAACCCAAATAATATACAAGGAAACTACAAATCATTCTTTCATGGACTTGAGTACTTGGGATGAAATGTTCCCTTTGGACCCTCAACATGTTCCCGTTTGGATCATTGGACTAGCTATTGTTGTAAGAAATATAAAGATTTATTATAAAATAGAGGCTGAATAAATAAATTTAAAAATGTTTTTTGTCATCTTTAAGTGAATAATTTAAGTGAATAATTAATGAATTTAATTCAAAAATATTTTTATCAATTGCATTTGTCGTCAAAATATCCAAGAATAAACTTCTTTACATGCCTGAGAGAATTTTTACATAATTTATTCGCTTAAGGCTAATGACTTAGGCTAATGACTGTCATAAATTAACCTTAGTTCCTTCATTCAAATTTATATCTAAATTTTTAGGTTTTGGTTGTTGGTTTTGGCATAATACTTGGCTTATTTTGCTCTTTTATTTTTTATAAAAGTTATAGGTAAGTTAGTGATTGTATGATTAATACAAAAGAATTATTAAAAATAAAGATCGAGAATGCGTTCTGCGGAGTTTAGTAGAAAAAAAGTTCAGATGTTACATGCATTTAATCCAACTACAATTAAATAATGTCAAATAACTGGCTAAATTTACCTATATTTTCTTGCTCAGTTCACAATTTATTATATGTATTTTTTCTTTAAATACATATGTATGTATTTATGCACTTTATATTTTTTATAAAAAAAAATATTTATATAATTAATTGATTATATACATATGTACTTAATTTAATTTGCTGATAAAAATTATATATTTGCTACACAAACAAAACTAGTAATTAAATTATATTACAGAATTAATTATAAAATAGTGCAAAAATTAATTTTATTAATTAAATGTCACTACAAACAGATGATAATTTTAAAAAATTGAAAGGCAAGTTACAATTACTTTAAAAGAATTTATTAAAGGTTTTATGAAATCCCCAAATTAAAATATTAATTAATTTAAATTTCTTTTTTAGAGTTTAGCCCTCGATCCTGTGATATTTACGAGAGTAGAGTTCGGCCATTTATTAAAGAAAGAACTGCTGTTCTCATTGTTGATGTTCAGAATTGGACAATGGAAAGAGGGAGTTTGCCTTTAAGTGATTATTTTTATGAAGAAGCAAATAAAAGAGTTGTGCCTAATATAAAAAGTATTTTGGATTGTGCACGTGAACGTGAACTTGAGGTAAATTAAATTTTAGAAATTAATATTATATGAAAAAGAAATAGTTTTTAATAAATTATCTCATTATTATGCGTGAGAGGTAATTTTAACAGCAAAAATTCAAATTTTGTCATAAAGTCTTACCTAACTTTAAATTTTTTAGTAATTTTTTGGGATGTTTTTTTTAGATATTTTAGAATATAATTTTTTTTAATTTGATCGGCAAATGATTTTGAAAATTTCTTCCACATATTTAAGTTAACTTCATTAAACCAGTCTCTCTCATTCAAAAAAATTAAATATTTCAAAGGTTGTCTTTACTGTCATCGAGAATTTTACAAAAGATGGACGTGATAGAAGTCTGGACTACAAAATTTCCAATTTCTTTGTCCCTAAAGGCTCACACGATGCTAAAGTCATTGACGAATTTAATCGTCGAGAAGACGAAATGGTTATTCCAAAAACTTCTTCAAGTTTATTTAATTCAACAAATTTTGAATATTTGGTTTGTTTTTTATAAAAAATACAAAAAAAAATAATTTTCAGATGAGAAATATTGGAATTGACACAATTATTGTCACTGGATTTCTCACCGATCAATGTATAGCCGCTACTATTTGTGATGGTGCTGACAGAGGATTTTGGATGATTTGTGTAAATGATGCTTGTGGTACTTCTACTCGAGAAAGACATGTTAATGCTTTGAATGCCTTTAAGGGTTATTGCCGAATGGAAAGTACAGAATCAGTAATTAATGCTCTACAAAAGGATATTAAAAAATAAACTTTCGAGAAATATTTTATAAATAATTTAATTTTAAATTTAGAATTATTGACCGTCTTTGAAAGTTGGGGGAATTCCCCCCCCCCCTCCCTCTCCTAAATTAATTACACAATTATTTTTATTATTCTAAACTTTTTATAAATCAATTAAGGGTTGTTAATAAAATTATTATTTTCTACAAAACTTTCATTTAAAGTAAAAGCTGCCCATTCAGGGAAATCATTAATTGGGAGAATATAAGGTACAAATGTTGCTAAATATATAAGCATTGAAATAGCTGTTACTAAAGACATTGCAATTCCTGATAGTATCTGTTAATTAAGAAATAATTTAATTGTAAAATATTGTTTAAAATTTTGAATGAGTAGAAGGATAATTATTGAAGTTAGCTAATTTTAGTGATTAAATAAATAACTTTAAATGAAGGTTTTTGGAATTTTCTTGGATGAATTAACTGAAAATTACTAATTTTTAGTTTATTATGTTAGACTAATTTCAACATTCAAATAAATGTAAATATTTTAAACAAACCATATCAGAAACGTTAATTAATCCACTAGAGAAAGCAATAGTATTTGAAGCAGTGCCTACAGGTAAAATAAAGGCAAACGAGGAGGAAAGAGTTGCTGGGAGCATCAATCCAATTGGATGAATTCCAACTTTTTGAGCCATAGTAGAAAATATTGGAATAAATATACTTGCAGTAACAGTATTACTGCATATATTTGTAACGAGCCTTTAAAATTAATTTTTATTTAAATTTAATAGAGGATTAATTTTTTACATTGTCACTAAAATGGCAATCAACTGGATTGCCCAGATTGGAAGATAATCTAATTTACTGAGTGTTTGAGCCATTAATGTTGAAAGTTCTGATGCACGGACACCTGCTGCCATAGCAAAACCGCCCCCTAAGAGAAGAACAACTCCCCAAGGAAATTGTTTTTGCATTGTTGTCCAATCCATTAAACATTTTGATTTTTCATTTTTATTCCTCTTTATGTTAATCATAAAATTATTTAAAGGATTTTCACTTGGCAAAACAAAAAGAAGAATGGCAACAAATATAGCAGACGTAGAGTCATTCATAGTTGAGTTAGCGGGGAAGATATCAGAAATTCCAGGCATAAATCCTGGACGTCGAAAAATCCAAAGAGATAGGAGAAGAAGGAAACAAAAAGCAACAGATTTTTGATCATAACTGTTAAGTAAAGAGGAGAAATGTAAATTTATTATTGGGGTTTTTGAATAAGGATTTTTGATAAGAATTGTCAATTTGATCTATAATTGTCAATCAAATCTATATCCCCAAGAAGATATAGAATGGAAAATAAAGTGTAACTGATTTTAAAACTCGTTAAAGCCTTAATACTTTAAGAAGTAAAGGTGAAAACTATCAACTATCACACTTCTGGTTTATCTAACCGAAGTAATTACCTCATTGGAGGCAAACCATCACTTTGTTTCTTCAACAATATACCAACAGTTTCATCAACTTTTGGACAATTTCTGAGGAAAATAAACGTAAGTAAAATCCAACACATAAATAAACAAAAAATCATTAAAGGCACAGTTAAAACAATCCAAGAAAGATAATTTAATCCAGTTTCTATACCAGGAAATAGACTTTAGAAAAATATTTATTTTAATTAAAATTTTTTAATTTTCTCACACTGGAAGTATTCCAATAAGTACAAGATTTGATGATGTTCCAGTTGGAGTTCCAACTCCCCCAATATTTGCCGAAAAAGCAACACTGAGAACTAAAGCTTTAGCTAAATTATTATTTTTATTTGTTTTGCTTAAATTTTGTTGTTCTTCAATTTGGATATTCAAATCGCTTTTTGGTAGTATTTCTTCTTGTAATAATTCATTTCTGAAAAATATTAAATTGATAGTTTTTTATTTTAATTAAGTTTTTGAGAGAAGGTGTGGAATAATTTAACAGGAAGAAATATCCGCTTCCCTCCCCCTCTCTTAACAACAGCTTTACGCGGAGTTAATACAAATATTCAATTGATACGATCCTTGTTTAGCATTTAAAAAATAAGACAAACTCAATAAGGCATTTTTCACTATCACCGCCTCCCCTATTTGATTCTAAAGTTTTAGTATTTTCAAGTAAATTAATAACTGATTGACAAATTGGTAACATCATTGCTGCTGTAGCTGTATTACTAATAAACCTTTAGAAATAATATAGAAATATTTTCTCTAAAAATTAAGTACATGCTTAGGACAGCAGTAACTGCCATAAATCCAAACATAATTCTTTTAGGTTGGCTACCTACTAAAGAAAGAACAAAAAGTGCTACACGTAAATGTAGCCCACAACGTTCAACCGCTGTAGCAACTATTAAACCTCCAATAAATAAAAGTACTGTATCCTGAAAATTTTAATAGAAAAATTGAAAACTCTGAAGTTTTGTAAAAATAAGTAATTGTAAATTTACGTTGAATGTAAACTTAATTGTGAAAAATTAAACTTACATTCATAAATTCATGTGAAACTTCTTTTGAAGTCAAAATTCCTATAAGGGGGAAAAGCACAACTGGTAACAATGCTGTTACCTTAAATAAATTTTTTACATCTTTATTGAAATAAATATTTAAAAATATTCAAGAGCAATTAAAAATCTCAGAAAATCCTACAGCTAAAGGCATTATCTCGCTCGTCCAATAAATAGCCATTAATAACACAACAAAGGCACATTTTATAGCCTAGTATTTAATAATTAAATTTATAATTTTAATTTTCAAACAAACTGGATCAGAATGCAAGAGAAGGGGTGATAAAAATAATGGAGAAAGAATAATCAATGCAGGACGGCGAAATAAAAGAATTTTTTGGATATTAATTTTTGATTTAGAAACTATTTCATCTTCTAATTTATCCATAATAAATTAATAACTAAAATAAATGATTGGGATATTTATGAAGAAAGGGGGGAGAGAGATTTATTAATTACGGGTAAATGTTAGCATTATTGCTCAAAAAAATTGAGAGAGAAAAAAATACTCGGAAATGATTTTTTAATTTAGGAATATGGGTTTTTTGTTATCCATGAATTAAAAGACTGAGCAAAAAATAGAGGAATGACTACTTCATGGTATGTTGCTGTTATGCTTACACCGAAACCTTTCCTATCTTAATCCCTAATTCATCGACCATGTCTGCAATAATTAAAATTTTTATTTGAATAAGGAATAATTAAAATATGGGTTAAAAACTTTAAGAAACATTCCCCTTCAAAGAATATATTTTCTTATGAAATTAAATTTTTATGTCCCACAATTCAACAAATTGGCCAAAATAAATAAAAATAATTTAACGAATATTTTAATATGTATTGACTTTCTTTTTAGAATTATTTTATTAGTTTCCATTCAATGCGCAATGTACATAAATCAAAAACTTTTTATGGGAAATGGCTGGGCTATTTTATTAATTTTTTGGTCCAAATATTTCGTATTCTTTTTATTTTTATTATGAACATAAAATTGTTATATTGTGATCAGTTTATGAATTAAAATTAAATTTAATAATAAAATAATTTTTGAATTTTAGTTTTAGAAAATAAAACTTCCACCTTTTTAATTTGTCAATAAATTAAACTTTTATTTAAATAATAGAACTCAAAGTTTCGGCAAACGCGGGTTTCGAGATCACAAACTGGATCAGAATACAAGAGAAGGTGTGATCGATTTTTTATCGACACAGAAAAACTTATTCGATAATATCGAAAAAGTATAGTGTTATTTTCTCCGAACTGTATGTCGCAGGAGAATTTTCAATTTTAACAAATTTAAAAATTTTCCGGAAAATTTAAAACTTTTCTAAAATTGAAATTTCCCTGCGACATATAAGTACAATATAGCCCAAAATTAAATAATTTCAAATATTTTTATCGTCCAAATTATTCATACAAAAAACAATTTCAGAAAAATATATTAGGAGAATACACTCCAGAATAATGAGGAAGTGCTTTACTTACATCGCCAGACGATAAAAGTTGAAGAAAAGAAGACCGCTCTCGATGACTGTGATCACGGGCTAATGTATTTACTGGAAAAATTATTTTTAGAATTTTAATTAAAATTAAAAATAAATTAGAGCTAAATTAGGAACAACAAGGGCAAAGGTAAATATAAAAAACTAGCAGAGAATAACCAAAAAGATTAAAATTTTTGTCTACTGCGTCAAAATTCCCTCCCAAAAATTTTTCTGGATATACCACAAGAAACAGCTTTTAATGATATTTTTATTATTAAACGTATAATTTAATTAAAAACCTTTCTCCACCAATTGAAACATTGCTCCTTGCACACTGCAAAAGGCACTCAATAAAACCAATAATTTATGATCAGAAGTTTGCTAAAAAATAAACAAAATTTAAAAAATTAATTAATAAAAATTAACTAAATTATCCCGACTGCATTGTTCTGCAAATTTCTCACTGTGAACAGAAAGTTTGAAACAAAGTTTATTAATTTCTTTAAGAATGTAATCATCCTTTTCAATTTGTCCAAGTTGAACAGACTTAAAGAAAAATATTTAACATTTTTTAAAGAGGATAAAAATATTAATTTTTGGAAATAATTGAGTAATTTGTTGTTAAAATATTCAAAACCAATTTGATAAGAGAATAAACTAACTGGGAAAATTTTCGGAGGAGAAAGGGTCTTCACCATTTTATGGTTCTTTTCTAGTTTTTCCTCTTGTTACTTAAGTAATGTGTTTAATTTTGAAGTATAGCATATGGGGTAAAAATTAGTGTAAAAGAATATAGGCACCATAAAGCTTAAAATTACCGAGAATGGATAATTACAATACCATAAAATTACTTAAAAATTTCAAAAATAGAATTTTGGTTAATTTTGATTTACTTAAAAATACATTTTCTGTTACTCGTAGAAATAAATGTTAGACCTTATTTTTTAAAAAAACAAAAACCTTAACATAAGCTTTGGCAACAGCAATTCCTTGAAGAAAAGTATTAATTGCTCCAAATTGTGCAGCCATTTGTTTTGAGGTAGTCGACTCTGCCGATGCATTTGTTTTAGAATATCTAGCAACATGGTCCAATCCAATCTGTTCTGCCATTTCACTAACAATTTTGACTGTTATTGAATGGAAAATGAGACTATTTTCATTAACAGGGTCAACAGACGAATCAAAAACAGAAATTGAAACCTAAAGAAAAATTATTTTTAAAAATTTTTGTGGGAAAGATTTGCAGAAAATAATTGTTGAGAATACACAATTTTGTAAGAAAAAGTAAAAAATGAGACAAACGTACTTAAAATAATAATCCTTCAAAAGAAAATGGTCTTATAGTTTCTAAAAATTTCCGGCTACAAGCCATGCCAAGAAAGGAGGGTATGCGACAAAAAATTTAATTTAGAGGAGGATATTTTTGTTCAAAGAATAATTAACTCAATGAAAGTCACAATTTTATGTTTTTATTTTTAAATTAAGCTTGCCTTGTCAGAAATGACAGGAGCGAAGACATTAAATTTAAGAAGAAAAGGTGATTCATTGTGTTGCAAAGCCTGACGTTGCAAATAAATGTCATCTTCAATTACTCGTTCATGATCACCAGAAACATAAAAACCAAGAAATTCTAATTCAGCAAAGGTTTCTTTATCTAAAATTAAAAAAAATAATTGTCAATTAATTGAAAATATATATATCGTCTAGTACTAAATGAGATTCAACAATAGAAGATTTAAGCTCAAAAGAATCTGTCAAAAACTCTCACCTTGTGGCGATGGCGGTAATATTAAACCGGACAGACCCCCTTTTTTCCCTGAATTTTTCCTCATCTTACTAGTTTTTGGCATGTACTTACACTTGTATAAAATTAAAAGCAATTTGGATGGAAGAAATGAAAAGTCTGACCATTTTGAATAATATATGAGAAAAATCGGGGAGGAAAAAGGGGCCTGTCCGGTTCAATATTACCATGATGGCTCCTATAAAATTTTCGCAAGTTTTCTACTTGCGAAAGCAAAAATAAAATTAAAAAATACTTACAAAGCAAATTTCGTTGAACAAAATATTCCTCGTCAAGCACTAAATGTGATTCAACAATAGAAGATTTAAGTTCAAAAGAATTCCAAATTTCAACATCCCGTCCAGATTGTTTTCCAAGAATTGCCCCGCAAACCTTTAAAAATTAATTGAAAATATAAAAATTAAAAACCATTTTTGGATCATCATTTTGTACGCGAGCCCTCGTCCATTGGTCAGAAATATTTAAAACAACAACTGGATGAATTAAAGCAGAAATACTTGATAAACTATTGTCCTTTCGTTGAGTCATTTTACAAAAAATATATCTTGGATATAAAAGAAAATGTCTGTAAATGTATAAAATTTTGTGAAATGTTAAAAAATGAAAATAAGAAAAATGAAGTAAAAATTGGGTAGACGATTGTGGCCATTGTCAATTACTTAAAACGAAGGATGAGTTCTAGAAAAAATCACTCTGCGACAAAGTTTCCGGTTATAAAGTGGACTTGCGACAAAGTAATCGCGACAAAGTGTCCGTCCTCTCGCAGAAAGGGGACGATTCGGAGTATAATAAATAAAGTACTGTATATAAGCTGTTTTTGACGGTTAAGGACGATTAAGTATCGCCGATTCAGTATCCGCCGATTCAGTATATGGCCATAACTTTCCTGATATTCGATCGATTCGAATAATTCTCATATCATTCGAAAGGTCTCATGATTCGACATCTTTTTCATAATTGGCCCGATCTGATGATCACAAAAGAAGTTACAACGTGAAAACCGATTTTTTATGCCTGTGACGTCGTTTATCAGTGATAACTTTTTGTAGAGTGATCAGATCATGTCAGTCCAATTATGAAAAAGATGCAGCATCCCGAGGCCTATCAAATCATATATAATAATTCCTACAATATTGATCGAGCAAAAAGTTATGGCCAAAAAGCCCAAATACTGAATCGGCCAATCTTTTTCATAATTGGCCCGATCTGATGGCCAATTATGAAAAAGCGGCGATACTGAATCGGCGATACTGAATTGGCGATACTGAATCGGCGATACTGAATCGTCCCCTACCCGTTTTTGAAACAATCTTCTCCAAAACTGTTTTGTTGGAACAACACCCACCGCCGTTGAGACATTTCTCCCCTGGCAATTTTTAGACTTATTTTAGACAATTTTTAGACGCGATTAATTTTTAAACTCAATTAAATATTCAAATCCATTTAAACTTTATTGTAGGTTTAAATTAAACTATTTGGAATAATTTATTTAGAGAGATTTCATTTTATTTTACTCAAAGTTAGGGTTGGGGGCCCGATCCGGCCTGGTCTGAAATATCGAGCGGGCATCGAATTTTGGCCGAGAAAGACTCGGTCGGGCCGGCCTATAAAAATGAGCCCAGAAAAAATAACACAAACGTCGGCCCAACTCGAAAACCCCAACCTTACTCAACGTTAAACTCTCCACTGTTCTTGTTTAGTTATTTACATACATAGACCTTCGTTCTTCGATCAACAAAGATGCGACAAATTGTAATCAAAGCATTAACGATTTTGACCCTTCCATGTACATAGATTCTCTCGCCAAAGGAAAAAAGCAAAAACATTTTTGTTTTGTGCAAAACCGGATATTTTCTCATCTTCTTTATCCTAACTTTCAATAATTAAAATCTTTTTATCTTCCGCCCCTTCTACGCTTTCATTTTAATATCGTGAATATGCTTCCCGGCAAGCAAATTAGGCAACAACAAAACAAATTATTTGAACACATTATTTAATTTTAAAATAAATTAACGATGAATTTTATTTCTTTCTCAATCTTTACTCTATTAATTGTGATAATTTTGTATTTAAATTCTGCATTTAGTTATACATATATTTCATACCATAAACCTCTAAACAAAGAACAACAGGAGTCGGAGAGGGTAGGAAATGATTTTTATTCGAAATACCCACGTCTTAATTATGATTTTTATTTTTTTTAATTTTTTGGAAAAGGGTTCGATGAAATTTCGATTTAAGAACAATACAAAAAACTAAAATTAATTTATGTAAAATACACTGCGGTGCATATGTTTATGCACACTAGTTTTTTGTTCATAATTTTATGCAATCTTATTCAAAAAATACGTTCTATATAGCAATCGAAAGCTCTATTTGTATCTCAGTTGACATGTTTCTGCATTTTCCATGAAAATGAAAATTGGCCGAGATAATCCGGATCTACCGGATATACCAAATCCCATATCCTCGGAAAAATTTTCCGGAAAAAATTTAACAAACCCATTTGATAAAGCATATTTTTGTGAGTATTAACCACAAAACCGCTTAGAAATATCTTTTTCCGGAACGGAGATATGATTTTTTGAAAATCGAAAAAAACGCAATTTTTTGACGAAAATGGCAAAAATATGGTATTTTTTCGATTTTCAAAAATTCATAACTCGGTCAAATCTCGACCGATTTGGAAGATTTTTTTGTATTATATGTAGAATCTAGAGGAGAATTAAATATATTTTTTACAGACCTCAAAAAAATTTCTTCGAAAAGTTGAAAATGTAGTACCTGTTAGACCGGTCGAAAAGTTTTCGAAAATATCAGAATTTCGAAAAATGCAGAAACATGTCAACTGAGATACAGATAGAGCTTTCGATTGCCATATAGAACATATTTTTTGAATAAGTGTGCATAAACTTATGAACAAAAAACTAGTGTGCATAAACATATGCACAGCAGTGTATATTAAGATCCAATCAATTGTAAGTAAATGTTATCAAAATTCGTGCCGACAATGGGTACTGGAATGCCATTGGTTCTGTGATGCTATTCGAGGGCTAGTACGTTTGTTATTTAAAACGAGATGTCCAAAACAATTTTTGGCTGTATCTATTATTTATTTTTATAGAAAGACTATGAGAGATGTCTTGACTGCTTGAGAACACAAGGAATGGGTTGTTATGAATGTTTTGATCTTTAATATAAATTTAATTTTTAATTAAATTATTTTAACGGTTTTTGTAAATAAAAAAATCTTTTATTCAAATAATAATTTAATTTTTAATTGAATTTTCGGTCAAAGTAAGTTAATTCGTTTAATTCCCGCCTGAATTATCGTATTATCTTTATCTCACTCTATTTGAATCGTCCTCTAATAGAATGGCCTTTTGGACTATGATTGAAACATAGAATGGTCGGCTCATCTATCAGAGATCCTAGTTTATTGCCATTGACCATTTTTAATATTTTTGAAAGAGAAAAAAATGGGAATAAAAAGATTTAGGTGTATAAACGCATAGTACCGAATTTTTTTAATGTATAAAATTCATTAAAATAATTATTTATGCAAGAGTATATTTAGCTTCAGGCATTCTGCGACCTTAGTGTAAATGGTGCGCAAGAGCACGAATTAGCACACAAAAGATTTTATTTAATGTAAGATTATTCTTTTTTGGTTATTTCTTTGATTTAAAAAATATTTTAAGGAATTATAGAAAGAAAGTCGGTTTCTTTAATTTTAGACTAAATTAATAACTATTAAATTTAAATTATCTAAAAGAGATTTTTAACGACCTTCCTTATGATTATTGCATATTTAGTGTTCAATATAATTGTGTCATCCGTTCGTTTTAATTCCCGCCGGGCATTAATTTGTATATAAATAAAATGAGAAAATATTTTGTGTTAGGCGCCATATTTCTTCAAATCCATTCGAAAAATTTTTTTGCTCCAAAAACATGTTTTCCAAGATTTTTATTATTCCATTTATTCTATTAAATATCTTCAATTTTCTAATTGTACCGGTCGAATTGTTGATGAAAATAACGAAAGAACAGATTTTAGGGTAGCTGATTAATTTTAAAAAAATTATGGGGCAATATTTCATTAATTTTATCGAGAAAAATAAAATCAACGGATGTGTTGATATGTGTTAAGATACATTGATAGTTAAAAGACAAATTGATGGTAAAAGTGGTGTACTTCTTATAAAATGAGGATGAAGAGCTTTTTAGATACTTTTGAGCTTTTAGATACTTTTTCAAATTCTCATTTGAATCCGGGTCTGGGATTCGAAATAAATAAAATTTGAAATCATATCGGACTCAGCACACTTAATTATCTTCTGGAAAACTCAACAGTATCGAAAAGCACTTTCCTCATTTCCTCTAGGGAGACGAGAAAACGAGAAATGTGTCGATTCTTATAGATAGATGCATTGGCATGTTAGTTCTGTATTTAAGATTCATTTGTATTACAAAGTCTGTATCGGGTTTGGTATTGCTTAACTTAGAATTAAGCAAAAAGTTGATCAAATTAATTTAGCATTTTAGGGAGCATCTAAAACCAATTCTCCATTCTCGTTCCAAACGTCAATGGCCTGGAGGATGTCAAGGATGGGATTGTTCAAGCAGTAGTGAAAGCTATGAGGAATACAATTGGAACGGATAATAAAATTTACATCAAAATTTAATTTATTTAAAATTTATTGAGAATAAGAATTTTAATGAGAATTTTTTTAAAATTGTCTTTAAAGTTACATATGTACGTGTATGGAATAAATTTAAAAAAGGAAACAAAGAAATAGAAACATTATTTATTAGCTAAACAATTTAAATTCGTCTGTATTTAGAAAAACAAGTAGTTAAAAGTTTAAAAATGTTTAAGATAAGTATATGTAGAAAATTGTTTTTAAAAAATGGTTATATCAAAATTTCTTAAATTTTTTCGTTCATATTCCATCCATAGAACCAAAAATATTTTTTAATTGTTGAAGACCTTTTGATTGATTTTCAAGCTAAAAAATATAAAAAAGTAAAATGAAATTTTAATTTTTAAAATTAAAATTGATAGAATTTGGTTAGTCTCTTATTTTTAAGGGATTATGATTAAATTTGTAATAAAAAAGAGCTTATGTCAAATTTGACTAGAAAAGCCAGTGAAAAAAAATTTCGAAAATGTTTTAAAAACTTTTTAATAATAATCCTTTTACCTTCTCATTTAATTTAGCCTTTTCAGTCTCAACTTCGCTAACTTTTGTTTCCAAATTTTTATTCAAAATAATTAATTCTTCAACTTTTTTCTTCTCTTCCTTTAATTCATTTTCTTTAATCTTGCTTAAATCACAAGCACTTTTCTTCTCTTTTTCAAGATTTTCAACTTTGCTTTTAATTTTCTAAATAGAAATATTTAAATGTACTATTTAGATTAAAATAAATTTAAAAGAGCAGGATGGGATTTTCTTAATTTTTAGATATCAAAATGAATACCTCGATTTCCAAGTCATATTCATTTAAATTCTTCACTTTTTCACTTTCCAATTGTTTTATTATAAAATTATTTTTGTCAAGCTCCTTCATAAATTTATTATTTTCTTCTTTTAATTTAATAATTTCTTCACAAGATATTGTAATTTGATTTACATTTTTAGCAACTTTCTCGTAAATTTCTTTATTTTCTTTTAATTTTTCATTTAATTTTTTATCGCTTTCTTCTTTATTCTTCTTCAAATTTTCCAATTCTTCTAAATTAATTACAGAATTATTTATTTCAATTTCATTCTCCTTCTCTTTAATTCCTTCCAAAGATTTAATTACATGTGGTGGGTCTGCTTTTACATCAACCAAAAGAACGATAGTATCCTCTTTCTCATCATACCAGCCTTTTTCAGGGTCCATAATATCCTAAAATTTAAGAAAAATTTAATCAAAAATCCTTAAAAAATTACTTCAAAAGTCATAAACTGTTTATAACCCCAATCGTCCTCTTTCGCATTGAATACATGACTAAATTCACGAACATAATCCTCTTTTCCTGGTTTTTGAGAAAGAAGTTTAAGTGTAACATTACCAGAACAATTCCAAGAAGGATCTGAAATTGAACATAAAGTAAATATTTTAAGTCAAAGTACAATGTCAATAAAGATTATATGAAATAAGAATATGTACATATTCGGAATACATATAAGGACCTTTATTATCAGCATTGCATTCCAGATAGTAACCAAGCCATTTTTGTGTCGATTCTGATCCATGTTCCATTTTTGGTATAGCCAAAATTTTCCAAGGCAATCCACGAATATAAACTGGATCACTCAGTCGACGACTCTTTGGCCCTTCATGAGCAAACTCACTTAGTTTTTCAATTTTGAGAGTGATCTGACCTTCTGATTTGTATGGATCTATTCATAAGAATATTTTAATGAGTATGGAAGCGTGTAAAACCTTCGTCACCGTTCGTTCTCGCGGTCATAATATTTGTAATACTATCAACTTCCATTTTCTTGTCAATAATTCACAATACAGGAAAAATATTTAAAACAAGTAAACAACAAATTCTAAAAAAAATTTTTGCCGTTTTCTAGTATAATAAAAAAAATATAAATTTTCAAAAAGAATGAGTCGCTTGCCATTAATTTCTTACATTTTATACAAAAAATTTGGTACTTATTAATCTTTGTTTGATTGATAAGTTGCCAAAAGCAAATCGGGGGAAACTTTGGAAAAAATAAAAATGGTAATCACCACCAGATTAACATTTACTAATATTTTTATTTAAAACTTAGTAATTCAAATTTACACTATAGGTCAAATGTATGAAATATCCCTGGGCAAGGGGGGACAACAGCAAAGGTTAAACTATCTATAAGGAGAAAAGAAATTCTCTGCAAATTAGGAATTATGTACATATTTTTGTTAATTCCGTCAAAAATAAAAATTTAATGCAAACAATGTTCTCGACCCTGGTCGCAGTTTCTATCTGCCCGCATTAATTTTCTTAATATTGTAAGTAATTAAGGATTAAATTATTAATTTTAAAAAGGAGTTTAGGGAAATAATAAACATTTTCTAGCAACCAAATTCAGATTTTTAAAACAATAGTTAAGTTTAATAAGTTAATTGTGTAACAAATTGTTTTTAAAAAGTGGATAATTCAGCAAAATGAATGAAAATTGTAAAAAAATTTTTGTTCATATTTCATCCATAAAACTGAAGATATTTTCAATTGTTGAAGACTTTAATTGATTTTCAAGCTAAAAAGGAAAAAATATTAGGGATCTTAAAAGTAAGTGAATAGAATATTTTTTTAATTAATTTTGGTAGAATTTGGCTATGAGAATATGATAAAAATTTGTAATTAAAGTAGAATTTCAAAAAATTTATTTAGGTACATAAATTTTTAATAATTAAATTTTTGTTGATTCTTTGCCTTAGTATTTAATATTTTTTTAACTAAATTAATAATTTTACCTTCATTAACTCTTGATTCCAAATTTTTATTCAAAATAGTTAATTCCTCAACTTTTTTCTTTTCTTCTTCTAATTCTTTTTCCTTAATTCTAATAAAATCAAGAGCACATCTCTTCTCTTTTTCAAGATCCTCAACTTTACTTTTAATTTTCTGAATAAAAAGACATGTATTTAGATTGCAATAAGTTAAAAAAGGGAGCACACCAGGGATGGGCCGGGTTACCCGAAACCGAAAAAATCCTAATCCAAACAAATATCCATAATCCCTGTAATTCCCCAGGTATCACTCCTATGAATTCCCCAAATCACTTATATCCCCCGATTTGGCTTCATACTTAAATTTTTAACTGACCCAGCCCGATACCCGGCCTTTCTTAGGCACGAAACCCGATCCTAATTATCACATGGAGGAACTTTACTGATGTATTCGTAGTACACGAAAATATTTTCCTCAAATATTACACAATAAAATTACTTTAATTTCCTTTTCATCTTCAGTTGAATTCTTCAATTTTTGATTCTCTTCTTTTAATTTAATATTTTCTTCATTAATTATTGCCAATTGATTAGCATTTTGAGCAAGTCTTTCATAAATCTCTTTATTTTCTTTTAATTTTTCAGTTAAATGTTTTTCACACTTTTCCTTACTTTTCTTCAAATTTTCCAATTCTTCTCTTATTTTAATTAAATTTCCATCAGAATTATTTATTTCAATTTCATTCTCCTTCTCTTTAATTCCTTCCAAAGATTTAAGTCTTTCTTCATCAATCCTTATATTTTAATAGTTTAGTTAAACAAGTATACTTAAAATAACTTACTTAACTCCAAGTGGTGGGTCTGCTTTTACATTAACAAGAAGAATGATAGTATCCTCTTTCTTATCATACAAGCCTTCTTCAGGGTCCATGATATTCTAAAATTTAAGAAATATTTAATCAAAAAGCTTTAAAAAATTACTTCAAAAGTCATAAACTGTGCATAACCCCAATCATTCTCTTTTGCATGAAATACATGTGTTACTTTACGGACATGATTTTCTTCCACTGGTTTTTGTGCAAGAATTTTAAGAGCAACTTTAGCAGAACAACTCCAAGAAGGATCTAAGTATAAAATAATTATATATACAGTGTCAATAAATATAAGGACCTTCATCCCCAAGATTACACTGCAGAAAATAACCAAGACATCGGCGGCCAGCAGAACGAGAAGACATCTCTCTTGCTATAGCCAAAATGTTCCAAGGCAATCCACGAATATAAACTGGATCGCTCAGTCGACGATTACCAGGCTTTTCACGGGCAAACTCACTAAACTTTTCGATTTTTAGAATAATCTGGCCCTCTGACTTGTATGGATCTGAAAAGATATTAATTATAAACAAGATTTTATTGAGAATTGAAGGGTGTAAAAACCTTCGTCACCGTTCGTTCTCGCGGACAAAACTTCATCTGTAACACTATCAACTTCCATTTTTGTCAATAATTCACAAATACAGAAGCAGAAAATTTAAAGAAGTTAATAACAAATTCTAAAAATATATAGCATTTAAAATAGTTAATATAGGTATGTATAAGATAAAAAGAAACAAGATCCTGCGCGAGACTTTGACGGATCAGTCATGCGGGAGTAATTTCTAATTCAAACATTTTTGTAGTTAAATTGGCAAATTTTTCTAATAACATTAAAAAACGCTTGACATGGATCTATTTAATTGCCTATTTGTCTTAATAAACTATGTATTCTTAGTTAGAAGTTTGCCAAATATTGAGAAGAAAGGTTTCTTTATAATAGAAAAAAGGAATCTTTATAATAGAAACTTGTAAAAATGTAGTAAAAGTCGATAAGATTTCATTTGGTTATGTAAGGATGATTCATCTATTAAAAATTATTAGTCGTGGGGTAAACGATCTATAAAGAGAAAAGGGAAGCAATGTTGTCGTCCCTGCAGCTCAGTTAGTAGGGCAACTGCAAAGGTGTAAGGTAGCCAAGCGCCCACAGTTAACGTGGTCGAAGGCAGGCAAAAATTCAAACAACGCAACACAAGGCCAAAAATTAACGCAGAAAACGTAAAATTAAAAATTTTATTTGTAAACCATAACTTCTAGTTCAAATTAAAAAAGCATTAAAGCGTCAGCGAGTAACATAACGATTTTGTGATTAGTTAAAATATCAGTTAATTTAAATTTCGACACGGCAGACACTACCCGATTTTTTAAACCGGGAAACCTGATCAGATCAGAAAAGATGCGCATCACGAGACTTTTCGAAGTATAGTATATGAATTATTCGAAAGAATATAATCATTTACAACAACAACCTCAAGAATCTTCAACTCAAAAGAATTAATAAATAATTATTAAGAAAAATTATTAATTAATTTTTCTTTAAATCCCTTAGATATTTTCCGTTCAGAATTTTCCTTTTCCCGGAAAATTGTGGGATCACGAGTTTCTGTTCCTAAAGTTTGTAAATAATAATAGGAATAATTTAATATTTAATTTATTAATTTTACAATTAAACTTAATTTGAATGCAAAGAAATAAATTTTAATTTAATCCAATCATTACTTTATTTAAAAAATCTTCACAATCCCTCTCTCTAAATAAAAAGTTAATCTTCTCTGTATCTTATCTGTTCCGTGATGGCCAAATTTCAAAATATAGTTTCTGCATATTTAATTATTGGTGGCAGATAATCCATCAAGACAATTTTTGTTTGAAATATTCTGTTGGTAACTAAAAAAGCTAGAATTTGTTTATTATCATAATTTTTGATTGCCTTTCAATTTATTTAACAAAGAATGACATTCTTGCAAATTTGATTGACATTATACTCACTATATTCACAATGTATCAATTATTAACCTCTTCTTATCAGCTGTTTGGAAGAGTAAAGAATATTTTATACTCAAATTTCTCTATATTTTATTTTGTTTTTGTCCATTAAATGATTGGCGCCCCTTCCTTAAGTTAACATTTTTGCGTGAAAATAGGGTAAAGTTCCATATTAATTGCCAGAAAGATGGCGCCAGATAGTTGCTATTTGGGCAAATATAAGCAAGCCCATTCTAGCTGTTCCTCATCATTTTTAACTTCTCTCTCCCTTTTCCTTCTCCATAAATATTTAAAAGTCCAACAGCATTTAAGTAAAACAAGAAGGCAAACAATCATTAATGCGGATTAATTCAATTCTTCTTCTATTGGCCATAGGCTTATTAGGCCCTTCAAATTTGGTAGTTGGGGATGAATATCCGGCAACTTCAACATTGAAACGTTTCTTCTACCGACACTTTTTTGCGGATAACTCTGCCTCTGAACAAACGCGTGCACCAAACTTTCAAGAAGGAACAGTATATCACTACAGTTATGATGCTCAAGTTGAGAGTGGTTTGAGTACTTTAGACGAATCTGGCACAACAACTCAAACATCTAACAACGGACAGCAAGCTGTTACTCGTATTCAATCGCAAGTTAAGGTTTATTTTGCAAGTCAAACACGTGCTCAGCTTTGCATGACAAACAATAGATTTGGACAATTAAACGAACAGACGAAACAAACAGACAGCAACCAATGCTATGAACCTTTAAGCACCTTTGAGCCTGTATGGAATTCTAGTATTTTAAAAACTGATTTAAATTTTTTAGAAACAAATACCCCAAGAACAGCGACAAAAACTTGAACTCTGTTGTCAATTTGATTATGTTGATGGATTAATTGTTCGAGTCCAATTCGACAAACAAGATGAGGCTTGGTCTAAGAATATGAAGAAAGGTGTTCTCAACATGATTCAAATGAATTTGAGGCAAAACAATGCTCAGGAATTAGCGACTGAGCAATCAAGAAATCAGCAGGATAGAAACAGTGAAGAGAATGAAGCAACACAAATGAGAGACCAACTTGCTCATTCTTTCACCATCCCCGAAGTTACTGTCGAAGGAGAATGCCAAACAACCTACACAATCAACACAGTAAATCCATCTAAACGTTGCACGCAAAAAAGTTATGATGGAAGTAACAAACAACAGCAAATGCCATGCTCTTTCAATGTAACCAAATCCATCAATTTCAAGCAGTGCTCCAGAATTGGCGATATTTCTGCTGGTTTCCAAACAGAACAACCACAGGCTCGCTGTGCTCAATGTAAGATGGATTGGTACAAACAAAAGGAACGAGATCAACAACAAACTGGGACGGCAGAACATCCTTGTGCCAAATGTGACCCAAAACGAGTTAAGGAAGAGACTGTAAGTGAAAAAACGTTTTATTGAATTTTATATTTTAAATTCAGCTGGATAGACAAACAGTAATGCGTGCAATGCTTAAATGTGGAAGTGAGCAACAGATGATCGAAGGGAAGCAACAGGAAACCCAAAATAGCTGTCAGCTTGATAGTTCTGAAATGCGTTCCATGTATGTCTACAAAAACACTAAAACTGAAAGTGGCCCCTATGGTTCTGCAATGCGTACTGAAGTCTGCGCCAAACTTCAATTACGTTCTGCCCAGTCAAACCAAGACCAACAGGTACCCACACAGACATTGGACAGCGACGAGTCTTTGGTATACACAGTCCAGACGTACACAGACTTTGCACGCTTCTATATGGTTAATTTAATAGTTTAACTCAGTAAAAAAGGATATTTTAGTTTGGAGATGAAGAATTCCCAGATTCAACAAATTCACCATTCGCCTCAGTACCAAAAGTGGAACAAGCTAGTCAAGCACTTCGTGCTTTAGTTCAAAGTACTTTAGATCATCATCATGGCATTGACACCAAACACACTATTCAGTTGAGTAGATTAGTTGAAATTCTGAGGATGTGTAGCTATGAAGATTTAAAGCAAATTGAACAAAATTCTCAACAATACCATCATAATCAACAACAAACTGCCAAACAAATACTTGTTGATGCAATGGCTATTAGTGGTACTCGAAATTGTGTTGTTCGAATGGCTGAGATAATTAATAACCAAGTAGATTTAACAGACAACCTTTCTATCCATATTTAAATATTTTAGGAAGTCTCACCTCACAAAGCTGCATATACAATCAGTCAATTAACAGGATTGCAATCTCCATCAAATTCAATTGTAAAAGAAGTTCAAAAACTCTGCCAAAGTGAACAAGTTAAAAATCGACCAATAGTTAAACAATCTGCTTGTTTGACTTTTGGAGCATTAGTTAATGAATTATGTTCCCAAAAGAGAAGTGAGAAAACTCCAGATTTAACTCATTCAATTCCGGAACAATGTACAGAAGATAAGAAGGAACAATACAAACAAGTATACCTTAAATATTTACTTAACTAATTAAATAATAATTTTAAAGGTTTTGGTAGAACAATATGAAAAAGCAACAACTCTTCAAGAAAAATTAAATGCTTTAGCCTCTCTTGGAAATGCAGGAATTGACACTTCTACTCCCCAACTTGAACAAATAATTAAGGACAGAAGTGAACATCCTCTTTCTAGAGCAAAAGCAATTGATGCTCTTCGCCGTCTAACAACAAAACAACCAATGACTCTTCAACATATGCTTTTACCTATTTATCTTAACAATCAAGAAGATCCAAATGTTCGAATTGTTGCACTTCAAATATTAATGAGAACACAACCAGAGCCATCAGTAATTGACCAAATAATTTATACAATGAGCCAAGAGCCAAATAAACGAGTAAAAGCATATACATATCAAACAATGAAAATGGTAGCTAAATCAAAGAATCCAGCTGATAGACAAACGTGAGAGAAAATTATAGGGAAAAATATTTTTATTTGAGAATAATTAATAAATTAAGGTCCAAACACGTTAAAAATGCAATGCAATCGGCTAACGTTGATGAGCAACAACTTTGGAGTTATGCAAAATGGCAAATCCCAGTTTACAGTCCCGAACAAGAGGAAGGAATTTTCTTAACTTTGGCTACTGAATATTCACAACGTTCTTGGATGCCAAGCTTGTCTTACATGAAAATTGACTCTTACTTCAAAGATCAATCAAATGTTAATGATCTTGTATTTTACTTAATGAAAAATCAACCATTATATGGCCAAGATTATACAAAATCTCGGAATCGTCGAACAGTACCCATTCGCGGTATTGACAGAAGAAAATTTGAACAAGAAAATAATGAAAATACCCAGCAACTTAAAAATATGGATAGTCAACTTGGAATAAAAAGTCGTCATGGAGGATATTCATATAATGATAGATATTCAAGATCAGGACAGCAACAAGAACAACAACAACAATATAGCCATAACAATAATATTAATGTTTTTTGTACAAGAATTGGAGATGTAGACCATTCTTGTTATGAAATACAAAATTCTTATTTGAATCAAACAACTCAGGAACAACAACAACAAACATCATCAATGCCAACACTTCCCCCAATGTTTACAGAATTAATTCATTCAATTCAAAACAGAAGAAAGCCAAGTTTAGCAAAAATGTTTTCTGAATTAAAGCAATTACAACAACAAAAAGTTCGCCAATACACAATTGCATCAATTTTAAATGACAAAGAAGCAGTTGTTCCAACTTGTGTTGGTCTTCCCCTTGGAATTGCAAATTCTGTGCCAACAATTTTAAATGTTGAAGGAAATGTTAATTTACAACAAAATACAGAAATGGGAGTGAAAGTACAAATTAATGGACGTATAATGGGTGGAATGGCACATATACAAAAAATGGTACAAAAATAAATATTCTCCTTTAAAAATTATTTTTAAAGCGTTGTTGGACTCCTTTCCTCGTTTCTGGAGTTAAATCTATTCGTTCAATTGAAATTAATATTCCGACACAATTAGACATTAATGTCCAAACAACAAATAATGGAAAACAATCATTAACTATGAGTGTTAAATTGCCAAAGGAAAAGACTCGACTTGTTGGGGCTCATTCACATCCATTTGTCTATACAGCTGATGTTGATCCAAAAACTGAAATAGTTATTGAACCGAGAAAAGTTAAAACAATTACAAATCCAAAATTGGATAGATTACAGTATCAAATGAATACTGTATTTGGGGGAAAGAATTTGGGTATTCCAGTTAATGTACATAGTTAGTTTTTGGAATAAAGGGGGTATTATTGATGGGATTTCGATTTAATTTCCATTAAATATCTCTTTATTAGCTCACTACCACTGGCCTTCATCATCTGCTAATGTTGAACAAATCTGTAAAATGTTAATGGCAACAGAAAATGCCATTCACGTCACTTACCAACCACGAGGAGAAGAATCTGCAAGAGAAGTTGTTTTCCAAATGAATTTAGAAAGTTTCCAACCAACAAATAATTATCAATTAAAAATGAATGATTTTTATTTAAATAAATTCAAAAATATTGAGAATGAAGAAGAAGAAGGAAATAATTATGAAGAAGAAAATGAGCAAAATTCTAAAAGAAGACACCAAAAAATGTCAAAATTCTTATCAAATTATTCCCAACAACAACAAAAATATTATAAACATAATTTAGAAATGTCTGCAAAAACTGTTGGAGGCTTAAAAGAATTTAAATTCCAAACAAAATTAGAAGCAAAATGTGAAGAAGGGATGCAAACATGTCAATTAGAAATTCAGGCAGAAAGAAGTCCAATAAATAATGAACAACAAAAATGGACATTAAAAGCTCAAGCAGAAATGGTTATGCCTGAAAATAATGAAGAATTTAATGAAGAAGAAGAGGAAAATAAAATAAAAAATAATTTATTTTCTTGTAAAGCAAATTGTTATTGGGGAAGTGATGATGGAAATAAACAAACAATTAATGTTAGAATTAATGGAGAACAATCATGGAGAAGAATGGAAGGGAATAATAATCAACAAAGAATGAATAAAGAATTTGAAATTAAATTAAAAAGAAGGACTGCTTTTATTAATAAATTTAATTGTGAAGCAAACTATACAAATTTAAAACCGGCAACAAGAAATGTTTTTGAAAGAGCTTTAGAATTAGTTAAATCAAAATATTTTTGGAATACAAAATCACAATTAACTGATCAAAGCAGAGAAGGAAATCCGGCAAATGGAGAGGTAAATTGAAGACGACTGAGGAAAGAAAATTAATAGAAAAATATAAGGGATAGTCCCTCGTTGTAATGAAAGTATTCCTCATACCTTTCTTTAATAATTACCTTTAATTCTCGTTGAAGTGAGGGTAATTAATCGAGGGAGGGTAATTACTCTAATATAACCCAATATTCTTTTTAAATTTTTCCAATTTTCTAGGCATATTTAAATATTGTAATTGATCCAATTACTCAAAAACATGCCAATATGACAGTCAAAACACCGGAACAATTAATTCGTTTCCAACAAATTGAATTGCCAATTCAAATGCGCCCTTTCCCTTTGTTGAGACAACAAAATGTTTATCAAAACATTCAATCATTCGGCCAGTTTTTAACTCGACAGGAAGTTGAAAGTAGAGCTGAATGTTCTGTTGATGGACAAACTGTTGAGACTTTTGGTTAGAAAAAATAAATAAAATTTTTATTTTTTATTTAAATTCTTTAGATGAAAGAGAATATCGTTCACCTCTCTCAACAAATTGCTATTCAGTTTTGGCAAAAGATTGTGGGGCAGATTATATGGGAGTTCCTCGATTCGTTGTTTTAATGAAAGCTGTTGAAAGAGGAAATAAATATAGTCAAAAGAAATTAAAAATAATTTCCCCTCAAATGGTTGTTGAATGCCAGAGAGAAACACTAAATAATCACAATTCCCCAATTAAATGTAAAATTAATGGAAAAGAAGGAAATAATCAGCAACAGCAACAATTAATTCAATATAATAATAACCAAAAGAATGATTTAATAATTAATTTGGATAAATTGGCCGTTCGGTTTAATGGATACAAAGTTTGGATTAAAATATCTAGTGAGTATAAAAATACTCAATGTGGACTTTGTGGACATTATGATGATGCTAGTAATGATGAAAATGAATTGTTAATGGCTAATAATGAAATTGGTAAGAAGAAGAAAAGAAAATAATTTTGGAGGAAAAGGGGAGGGGGGGGGAGAGGGAGAGATTTAGTAAAATATTATTTTTAAGCTTCCTCCTTGACACAATTCCATCGTTCTTATTCACTTTCAAATAGTTATGACAATGATGATAAATTGTGTAATTCACAAGAACTTGATAAATTTTATGAAGAAAATTCTAATAAATTTGGATATTTAAATGAAATGGAGGAAGAGGAAAGAGGAGACGAAAAAGAAAATAAATTATTCCAAAATTGGGATGAGGAGGGATTTGATGGAAATTTTGATAAAAATGAAGAAAATAAATATTTTTATAATGAAGAATGGTATGGACAAAATGAGGGGGAGGAAAATAATTATCAACAGAAAAACCAATTGGGTGCAAAAAAATCTGGAAATCGAAATTTGAAAAAAAGATTTGGTATGGAAAAAATAATTTTTAATGAAAAATTATTTTTTAGTGCCAATTTTAATGAGAACAAAAATAATGGAAATGGAAAATGATATTTGTTTTTCAAAACAGCCAATTAAACAATGCCCATTGGGTACTTATCCAAGTGGTTGGGAATTTGAAGAAGACGAAAAAAATAATTCTAAACATTTTACAACAAAAAATATTCCATTTATTTGTTTGCCTCGTTCTGATTCAGAAACTCGAAATTTATTAACTCAATACAGAAAATTAATGAAAAATGGAAATAATCAACAACAATTGGAATTAAATAATTACAAGCAACACAGTATTGTTGAGAAAGTTTTGGAACCGAAAGAATGTCGTCGACTTTAATTCGTCGAATGAACACAAAGTGATTCTCCCCATTTAAATATAATTGTAGTTAATTAATTTGTAGTTTTTAATTTAAATTTGGGTTGAAGGATTGTGTAAAATAAATAAATTTTTGTTTAATTTTTATAAAAATTTAGAATAAATATTTAGAAATTAGTTGGATTTTGTTAAATTTATTTTTATTAGAATTTATCTTAAAAATAAACTACCAAAACTTGCAAAAGTTAAAAATGTTTATACAATGTATTTAATAAAAATTTTTTAAAAAGTAAAAGAAAAAAATCAAAATTTACAAAAAAATTACAATTAAAAGTATAAAAAAAATTTTTTTGTTTTAATTTTCTTCATAGAAGCAAAAATATTTTTAAATGTTGTTTCAAAATTTATAAAAATTTAATATTCAATCTTTAATTTCATCTTTCAATTCATTAAACCAGAAAAAATTCGGTAAAAGAAATCCATAATTAATTTAAAATATGATTCTTTTGCCTGGAAATGTGAAATACAGTTATTTAATTTTAAATATTAAATCCGGATTTGTTTTAAAAGATTCAATAAGTCTAAGTCTAATTTTTTAAATTTCTTTAAAAATTACCTTTTTAAGTTCCTCGTTTAATTTTTCCAATTCTTTGTTTAATTCAACATTTTTTTCTTTTAATGAAGAATTAGTTCTCGACAACTATAAAATAATTTAAATATTGAAATTATTTTTGGGGTTCTAGATAAGCTTTTTTCTCTCATTTTAAATTAAGGTTTATAAGAAATTTATAATTAAAAATAGAATACCGTCATATTTTGTTCTTCCAATAATCGGAATCTGTGCAAACCTTTCGATTGATTTTCAAGCTAAAAAACAAAAAAGATTTAACTACAAAAATGTCTAGATGCTGTAAAAGAGAATTTAATTGGGTGAGGGAGGGGAGGGGGTATAAAATGTTATTTAAATCATTAAGGAATAAAAAATAAAAACTTTAAGGCTACCCATATACATATTTATATAATTATTAATAAATATTTTTTTTATTTACCTTAGCAGTTAATTTAACATTTTTTGCAGTTAAATTAATATATTCAGTTTTAATTTTGTTAAATTCCTCTTCCAAATTTTTATTCAAAATATTTAATTCCTCAACTTTTCCCTTCTCTTCATCCAATTCTTTTTCTTTATTTTTAATTAATTCATCCATTGTAGCAATAGTCTCTATTAATTGCCCATGTTCAATTGAATATTCATCCATTAAAAATTCAGCCTCTTCCGCTCTTTTAATTAATATATCCTTATCTGCTTGAAGTTTTGCATTTTCTTCTCCAAGCTAAAAAATTATTAGAAATAAATTTAAATTCTAAATTCAGTTTTAATTTTTTCAATTATTTACATTCTCGTTTTTTTTTTGGTAGGTTCCAAAGGTGGGAAATTGAACTTTCGAAAAAATTGAATTTTTTTTCAAAAAAAGATCTACTAATATATAAGGGTTGTCAATTAAACTAAATCGAGATTTTTTTGGATTTAAAATACTCGGGTAACTACATAAAGTCAAATACATCGATATTGACGGAAATAATATTAACTACTTATTATCTTCTATTAAATTTACCAAATAAAAGCTTATTTACTTCCAAATATTATTTATTTCTCTTACCATCTTAGCCAATTCGTCAATTGACTTTTTTAATTCTTCATGTTTAACTGAATATTCAGTTAATTCAAATTCATAATTTTTTAATTTTTCCTTTAATTGTTCATTTTCTGATTGAACTTTTTTATTTTCAGTGCTTAGCTAAAAAAATTATAAATGTATTTTAATTTTAAAAATTATTTTATGAACAACTCGAATCAATTTAAAAATTATATTTTTTACTTTTAACGATGTCAATCCCTCCTCACGAGATTGTTCCATTATTTGTAATTTTAAACGATCATTGTCTGCTTTTAAATTGAAATTCTCGCTAATCAATTCATTTTTATCCTCTTCAAATTTTATCTCAAGATTTGTATATAAATCAAGAGCACATTTCTTCTCTTTTTCAAGTTCTTCAACTTTACTTTGAAATTTCTAAATAAAAATATATTTATTTAGATTAAAATAAATTTAAAAAATTGAGGAAGTTATTACTGCCCAAAAGTTATTACTGCTGTTACATCGAAATAATTAATTAGATCTTCGTATTAAATTAAATCATTTTCCCCAAAATTTACACAATAAAATTACCTCAATTTCCACCTCATATTCATTTAAATTTTTCAATTTTTCATTTTCCAATTGTTTTATTATAAAATTATTTTTCCTTAATTCTTCCAAAACTTTATCTTTTTCTTTTTTTAATTTAATATTTTCTTCAAAAGATATTGTTAATTTCTCAGCATTTTTTCCAAGTTCTTCAAAATATTCTTTATTTTCTCTCAATTTCTCAACTAATTTTTTATCACTCTCTTCTTTATCTTTCTTCAATTTTTCATTTTCAATTTTTAAATATTCCAATTCTTCTTTTAACATTTCATCAGAATTATTAATTTCCTTCTCCTTTTCTTTGATTTCTTGCAAACATTTTATTTTTGCTTCATCAATGACATCTTTATAAGTTTTAGAAAAATGTAGAGTTTGATCTTCAATCAAGGATTGAATTTGCTGAAAAATTTTAAATTTAAGAAAGACAATTACCTAATTTAAATTTTTTAATCATCGTATTTCCTCGAATAATTACCCTCCCTCGATTAATTACCTGTCACAATTTTCCTTCTCTTCCTCTTAAATCTTCCCTTTTTCGCTCACTTATTTGGTTTCACCAATCATTACTAATATTCTCGCCAATACCGATATTCATCGGTATCCGACACTAATCCTTATATCAGCCTCGTTATCAGAAAAATCGGATCGGGATCCAAAGAACCGGTATAATAACACACGATACCGGTCGAGATCCCGATGCAGGCCAACTCGGGTCAAAAAAAATACCCACTCTTGCGAGAGGTTGAAAAAAGGGTAATTATTCGACAAAATATTTAAAAATATTTCAAGATTTTTTTTAAATCTAATTTTAAAATTGTTGTATTTATATACTAAATCGAATTAATAATTTTGTTAAAATAAACAAATTTCTAAATTTATTAAATAAAACTAACCTCTTCATTTCCAACTTGTTGATCTTCCAAATTTTCATTCTATTTATAAAAATAATTTATTAAACATTATAGAAGAACTAATTTAAAAATAAAAATTACTTGAAAACAATTATTGTTTAGCATTTCTTGAGAATTTTCTTCTAAAAAACTAGAAGTAATAGAATTATTTAAAAGATTAGCTGCTTCGCTATATTTAGACATTTTAATAAAAATAATATTTTTTAAATTTAAATCTAATAAAACAAAATTTTTAAAAATTTATATAGTAATTTTTTTCAAATTCCCCTCCTCCCCTGTTTATACTCATTTTTGTCCCATCCTGTAACAACACACTCCTAATTTGTAGATTGTTTTGAATATTTCTTTTTGGGTTTGATATTTTTAAATCCTCACATTCCGTAAAATATAATTTTTTGGTGTGGTATATTAAAACAAAAGATATCTTATCCGACGTGTTTGTCAGTCAAAGTCTATTTATTAAAACAGAAATTATCAAGATTGGGACAGAATTACGAAGAAGTTATGATAAATTAACTGGAACATTCAATTGCTCAATTATGAGTTTTTACTTCAATTAGACATGTTTTTGATATATTTTAAATAATTTTTTGTTTAAAAATTCAGAAAAAATATTAAAAAACCAAGTAATAATTTTCTATAAGAATTAATTTATAAGAAAATATCAATATGTATAGAATAAAAAATTAATAAATGAGAGAAGTTTAAATTCTTTCCTTAACTTAGGCACAAAAATACATATGTCAAAAAGAGGTCAACCCAATTAAAAAAACAAAGGAATGGATAAATGTCAGACTTCTCCCTTTTTAATCTTTTTTATGCAAAAAATTATATGTTTATTTTAAATTAGGTATATTTTTTAACAAGTTTAAGGTTTCTCAACAAATCTTGGTCAAAATTTTTTTATCATAATTTATGTAAATAAAAACAAAATTTTATAAAATTTATTTAAAAAATATTTACTTTTTATTTAAAAATTTTTATTTACTGTCAAAATTATATAAACATTTAAATACAATCGACTCCAGTTAATATTTCGGACATTAGATCACTCTAGCGTTAGGTTTATCCGGAGTTGATTGTATAATTAATAAAGCATTGTATTAAAGGCAGTTTTTGATTGCTTAGGGGTTAATTTAATATTTATCCTTTATGCCACAATCGCTAATATTTAATGGAATTATGGATGGAATTATAAAAATAAAAGTTTTTTTCTGAAATGTCGGATGAGCAGCAACTAATTAGGACCGACCTAAGTTGCCCTACTAAATTTGAACCAATTATCATTTGATGCTATCCCATCTAATCGAAAATAACGAGAGTGTGGCATAAAGGGTAAAAATTATTATTTTTTAAATAAAAATTTCAATTCATTTTATCAATTATTTGACATTGGTTTATTTAATTGATTATTTGTTTTTAGTATATTTTGATATTGAAATGTGCCAAATGGTGAGAAGAAAGGTAAAAGTTGAGGAATATTTGTAGTAGGAATAGTAGATGATTGTGAAAATGCAGTAAATGGTAATAAACTTCCATTAGGTGAATTGTTGAATATTTGTTGATTTTGCTTTAAATTAATTTAAAATAAATAAAATAAATAATTTGGATTACCGTATTTTCTCGATTAATTCCCCTCCCTCGAATAATCCCCCCTCTCGATTAATTCCCCATGCCAAGCAAGGGCTGAAAAAATAATTCCTCGGGGGAATTAATCGAGAAAATACGGTATATGAAATAAAGTCATTTTTCCGTTTTTTACCAAGTTTGGAATATTTTTTATAATGAATTGTGATTGATTTTATTTCTAGTCATAAAAATTAATATTTTTATTCTTTTACTTGTCTTAAAGCAACATTATTAAAAAAATATTTTTAACTTTTGGAAGAAAATGAAGGAAATACGATAAATACTAATATTTTTCTCGATATAGTAAACTTCCGTTAGTTGAGAAATATTTCGGGATAGAGATCTTATTAAATACATTCCCTAACAGGGCATTTCTGTCTGACTCGATTAATTACCTCTCGAAATAACAAACTTTTCATCAGTTTTTCAAGTTCATTATATCGAGATTCGTCTGTATATTTTTAATTAAAAACGAAAATCTTACCTGTTGTTGATTACCAGAATTAATTAATATTTCTCCAAACGTTTTTTGATTAATAAATTTATTTTGATTTAAAAAATTTGCTTTTATTGTTGAAGAAATAATATTATTATTTGCCTCAATAAATAAATTATTAAAATTTGTTACTCCATTTTGAAGGGCTTTTCGACGTGAACGGGCACGTCTATTGGAAAACCAAGTCTTTAATTTGAAAAATTATTTCTTTTTAATTAATTTAAATTTTATACTATAATTTTGTCTTCATCCAATTTTGTTTTTCTTACAAGCCATTCTTTTTGTGTAGTTACGGGATAGGGATTTACATTGAATACTTCCTCTAACAGACTTAAAAAAATATTAAAAAATTATTTTACGAGAATTTTTATAAATTTTTATTTTTATAAATTTTTACAAAAGTATTTTTAGGTTGCTAAATTTCAGTGAAAAAATAAGATATATGGAGGAAAAAATTTACAAATATAATATGGTATTTATTTATAATTCAAATTTTGTAAGCAAATATTATAATTACTAAATTAGTTAATTACCGTAATTGTTCCTGATTAAAAGCTGTCCGGGCTCTGCGATTTTCCATTGTTAAATTAAATTGTTGTTGATTATTTTCTTCATCAGAGCCAACAGATACAGCTTTGTTTGAATCGTTTAAATTGTTTGACATAACAAAGTTGGGAAAATTGGAAGTGTTTGATGATTGGCATTCAGAAAAGTCTTTAAATTATTTTTAAAAAATTAATAAATCTTTTTGGTTTTTAATTTTTTTTAATTTTATTATTTGAATATTTAAATTATTTTCTCTAAATAATAATTTATTCAAAAATTATTTAAAAATAAATATGTGTTCCCTAATATCTATTCAATTCTCCATTTATTCCCGCATCTTTTAACACTTTTAAACTTGCTCACATCAACTTCCAATCTATCAATTTGACACCTAAGTATTGCCGCTGATTATAACTTGTGATATAAAATTTTATATATAATTTTCATCTTTTTAACGCCTTTATCCCCTTTTAATAATTCAACTATCCCTTTACTTTTTAGCGGTAAATAAGGGTTAAAAGAAAGTAACATTTTTGCTTGTCATAAAAATATTGTGTGTTCATTTCGCGATCATTCTTTCCTCTCATACTGCGATAATTTCAAGTTGATATGTATATTATAAATAATAAAAAAAATGGAGGGGGTTTACTTAGATTATGAATGATTGGTTGTATTTAATATTTTATTTGTTTTGTAGGTAATAATTTCCAAGTTCCTTATCTTTTTTGGGAGCGGTTCTGGCCTTTGATCAGAACCAAGAAAAAAATTGCGGGTAGGAGAGAGAGGGGAGGGAGAGGGGGAGGGGGAGGGGGGAGCATTTTTCAAACATTTTACCGCCACACAACTGTTGAACCTCAACAGTAAATCAAATAAAAGAGAAACTACAAAAAATACATTTTGTTTCTTGTTTAAAATTTATAGCCTTTTTTGCTTGTTTTTATCTTATCATAAAATTAATAATCGAGAGAAATGAAAATGCGGGAAATATTAAAGAAAGTAAAAAAATATTTTTAAGAGGATAAAGGAAGCCTTTTTTGATAAATAAATTTTTAAATAAATAACTTTTTATTAATTGATATCGAATATTAGAAAATCTAAAATTAGTTTAAATTTTGAATCAATTATTATTAACGAAATAATCTACAATTTTTTGATCTTTACTAGGCTAAAACTTAAAGAAATCCAAAATTACTACACAACAAATTTCACCATATAACTCAAAATATACCTCCATACATATGTCGCCTCTTATTTATTCACACCTTAACTTTTCAAAAACCAACATTCCTACATATGCCCCTAATCTTTATTCAAACCTAAATTGAATAATTTTATATTTTCCTCACAATCCGTTGTAATTTTTGATTGTTTGGCGGCAATTTATTTAAAGTTAAATAAAAAAAACTGTCCGCGCATTTTGGCCGTCCCTAACATTTTACACCGGCACTTCCGCCTCGGACACTAATCCGCCGACAAACTTGTCATCCACAAAAATCAAAAATAGTTACTTATCCGTTGACTTTATCGCTTATAGTTATACAATATGTTACAATTTTATGCCGCGCAGATGCTTGTCTTTTTCTTATTTTTTGTAAAAAAATTTTAAAATTAATAAATTTAGCTTTTTTAATAAAGAATTAAATTATAAAAGAATATTGGAAATTTTTGAGTTTTTGAGAAATTTTGAGTCATAGCATTTAAGTCAAGATTATGAAAAATATTTTATTTTGAAAGAAAATGATAAAAATTGCCTCAAGTCTTAGTAAATTAAGCGTTTAGTAATAAATTCTAATAAGTTATTAAATGTTTGCTTACACTAAACAAATGTGTATTACTGTCATTTTTTAACTCAAAAATTCGTCAAAATGTTAAAATATTTTCCATTTATTACTTTCCTTCCCCCCCCCCCCCCTCCACTTTCAATCTTAAATTTATTTTGAGAAAATAATAATTAATCAATTATTACTTGCTGCTACTGATCGTTATATGGAGATAAGAAAATTAACCAATAAAAATAAAAGTAAAAATGAATATAAAAAGTGTTGATCGTAAAATTGTTTTTAAGGGTGTGAGGGAGGGGGTTTTATTATTATTTAAAGAGATTGAAAGGGAGGGAATTAAATTGATAGGAAATGATTTTCGGGCAATCCCGGAGAATCGTGGTCCCTGCGGAAAAAAATCTTAAAAATAAGAAAAAGGATTTTTCTAGGGTAAAAAATTATGCTGATTACGAATCTGAACTCAGATTTTGAAAAAGTCGAATCCCGAACCCGAATTCGGACATTTGACCCTGGACATTGTCGGACATTGTACAAAATGGTCGGTACGAATGGTTATTGTATAAAATTGAGCTCGATGAGTAGAACTCATCGAGCTCCATCGAATGACACCAAAATCAATGAAATCCGACATGAATGGACCGAGATACAGACCCCTAAATATTGAAAAACCACAGGGGTGATTTTTTGGAGTAAAAAAAGTTTATGCAATTGGTAGCTCATTCGAAAGGGCTCGTCGTGCTGAGTCGAATGACACTAAAATTACTGTGATTCATCAAGTTTTGACAAAGTTATGACATAGGTCGCCGACACCTACAGTACTCCCATAGGTTTATTTTATGTCATAACTTTGTCAAAACAGGTCCAATCACGTTGATTTTAGTGTCATTCGATGCAGCTCGACGAGCTCTTTCGAAAGAGCTATCATTTGCATATTCGAAATTCGGGTTCAGGGTTCGAAATTTGGTTCGGGTTCGGGATTCGACTTTTTCAAAATCTGAGTTCAGATTCGTAATCAGCATATTTTTTTACCCTAGAAAAATCCTTTTTCTTGTTTTTAAGATTTTTTTCCGCAGGGACCACGATTCTCCGGGATTGCCGATTTTCGCGCATGATAATTAAATTTATGTATTTTATTAGGTAGAACGAACCTCTTTTTGGATACCCAAAATTAGGTAATCCTTTATTTAAGATACGTTTTTGGCTTTTAGTTGACCATTGATCTAAGATATCCCTAATTTAAGTTACTCTCAGTATAAGGAATTATTTACTTATTCGATTAAGTATTCTTTTATTAATCTAAAAGTTATTTCCAATCTTAATTTAATACACATATCTTCCCTCAAAAACAATCAAAAATCTCCAAATGTTTTCTTACTTTCATGTTTACTGTATTTCTTTTATTATTTACAAATACTTTAACTACTAATTGCTTATTTTCTTGTAATTTAGATAGAAAATGAGTTTCTTTAATAAATTAATTATAAATTTATTTAATAATACTGTTAGAATGGAAAAAAATGAGAAATTGGTGGGCAATGACGCAAAAAATAAAATTAATATTTAAATTACATATAATCTTTTTTTAATAAATTAAAAACGAATTTGGTGATTTTCTTTATTGGGTGGATGGATTTAGAGGAATTTTAAATAAAATAAACATTTTATTTTGGAATTTTGTTTTTATTTAAATTAAATTTTTAATTAAATAATTTTGAAAATTTTAAATAAAACCAAATCCCCACCTCTAGACTCAACAATTAAAGGATTTCCATTACAATTATTGCTAATAGATCCACCAAGAATATTTTCAATTGAATGATTTAATGGTCTCGTTAATTGTTTTTGTTGTTCTTCTTCCTCATTATTAATCCCTTCTTTAATTAATTTAAAATTAATTGTTGATTCCTTTTTAAATTTATTTTGGAAAATTTGTTTTTGTGTTTTTAAAAGACGATTAATTCTTGGAGTACTCGGCACATTTTTTTGTGAACAAATTCCTCTAAAATTTAAAAGAGAAAATTAAATTTTAATCAGGTTTACAACCTCTCAACTAAAATTTGTTGGATCTGAAGAGCAGAAATATTTTGGTCTATTTTTTCTTTATAAATTGATAAAATGTATTGTCGAACAGCTTGAATAGATATTCGTGAACGAGGATTTCCTCCAATCTAAATAATTTAAATAAATTAATTTTTGAAGATTTTAACTAATTTTCTATTTAAATAAAAAGGAAAAAAATTTAAAAAAATTTTTGTTAGTAAATCCAAATAGAACAGCAAGATATTATGTAGAAATTAAAATATTTGAAGAAAAATAGAAAAAACTGATTTTAACTCATGTTTTAAACTCCAATATATGTCATATGTATTTACAGTACAAAAAAGGAAAAATATAAAAATCGAAGTCGAATCGAATCTTCTGATTATGAAATTATTCGATTAAATCTTTAGTACTTTACTAGAAAAAGTTCCTTCACCAAGAAATAATTTCCTTACTCTCGAAATGATGCTAGATCAAAAAATTGATTAAAAATTATCACTTAATGAAAGACATTCCTCCTTCTCCACGTATTTGGAAACTAATGTTTTAAATTTTAATCATCAGTTAATAAATACCGTTTCAAAACAAATTACCGAATCTCTACTAAAAAATTTTCTTAGATAAGCGGCAAAAACTCCCGCCGCGAATTTTCCAAAATTTAAAACATTTCAAGGACTCTTTTAATTTTCAACAACAACTGCTCATTGTCTTTTATATTTCTTAAAACTGTGAAAATTTAAAGGAGAAAAAGAATGATGGTATTTAATAGTTAGTGTTAGAATGTATTTATTACAAGGAATTATTTTAAAAGGAAGGAAAATGGATTGGCGCGAAGAATTTTTATATTTAAAGGGATTTGGTAATTAAAATAAAGATATTTTTTTGGGTTTTTGTTAATTTATTTTTAATATTTTTAATTACCTGTCCTGGTGAAATTGAGCCTGTTTCATGGTACCTAAATAAAATCAAATAAAGATGGGGGTCAATCATGCTTAATTGAAATAACGTATGAATGATGAAGAGTTTTTGTGAATTGAAAATGGCAATTTAACTGGAAAAATTAAATCTCGCACTGCGATAGATTAAAAATGAAAATCCTTAGAGCTTCCTCAGTAAATAATATTATGTACTAAATTTTAATATACTGTATATGTTCGAATAATTACCCTGGGTAATTATTGTTTCGACCACTCGTGGTGGGAGGGGGGGGGGTATAATTAATCGAAAGGACTGCTAGATTTGGAGCGTATCACATGAATTGAGAACAAAATTTATTTATATTTTATATACATAGATTCTTAAAATGTTCTGATAATTAATATTGGCAATGCTTTTTTTCAATATTTTAAAATTAATGTAGAAAATATAGGGGGTAATTATTAAAGAGGTTAATTATTTGAGCATATACGGTGGTCAAAAATTATTTGTTAAAAGTTAAAAAAGGTTGAAGATTCTCAATTCAAAATAAATTATTTAACGTTACCTCATCAAAATTTTAGAAACAGCTCCATGCGAGACTTTCAATTCCCTGCTGATTTTGCATGGCCTTAATTTATTTATTTAAATAAAAACTTCGAAAAACAAACTTTACACCACGCCGAGACATTTCTACAATTTGGACACGTTTTTCTTGGGGCAATGGCCTTCCATTTATAAAAACTCCACCTAATTGGTTCATTCTACCCTACAAAAATTCTTTTAGAATTTTTAAAAATAAGAATCTTTAAAATTAATTTTTATTATATGTAGAAGTATTTTCCCATTTTTTAAATACAATTCTTAAAATCAAACTAATTATTTTACCTGCCCTAATAAATTTTCAAATGTAATTCTAGGGATAGATTGTTGCTGTATTGTATTGTCAATATTAAAATTAGTTGATTGTCTTCTTTTCAAAGATGTTTCCGGTATTGGACATTTTGGGGAGGATTTAGTTAATTTTATGTTGGGATTTAGTTTGTTCATTTAATATTCTTAAAAATTTTCAGAGAATTTTGAATTTTTAAAATTTATTAAAAAATATTAATTATGAAAACATTTAAATAATTATTTTCTAAAATTATTCAATTAAAAAAATAAAAATTGCGGGAATTTATAAATATAATTAAATAAAAATAATAAATAAAATAACCACCAAACCACCAAAAATACGGCGAACACTTTTGTATATTCACTCCGCCCCCATTCTAAATATATTAATGTACATTTAGTTATAATCTTTTAACCAATAAAAGACAAGTAAGTGGCTGTTTGAGGTAAAAATTAAAATGTAAAAAAGAAAATTAAAAAATAATTTTAATTAAATATTAAAATTAAATTTGTTTTTATTATGATATTTTGGTTATTAAAAATTTCTTTTACCTTTCATTTTAGTTAATTTCATTCATTCTTTGATTTTTTTAACTAAATTTTTCGAGCTTACAATTATACTTTCCAAACTCATTAGAAATCAGGGAAATAAATATTCTCTTGTAATAATCATCGCCATTTGAGCTTTTTTAACTACCCAAAATACTTGTTGGATTAAATAATTAATTGAATTTTGAATCAAACTATTTCTTAGTTTTCTTGGTTCTAATTTGAATTAAAAAAATTTTGGGGTTAAGTTTTGCATCGTCTTTTCTAATATTTCATTAAAATACCTATAATTAATTGTTGTAAATCAAAAAATTCGAATGAGTTCCGAAAAGTTCGAACTGCTTAAATTAGAGTTATAATCATGTTAGTTAATCCATTTTTATAATACTTGTTATTTTTTGATCTTAATTTGTAGAAATGCCGACGGTATGTTGGGCCGCGGTATCTTGGTGTGTATCAGGGGTGTGCCGAAAGTGATTTTAAAAAGCGAAAGGCGAAAATGCGAAAGTCATTTTAAAAAGCGAACGGCGAAAGGCGAAAGACGAAAGTCCAAAAAAGGCGAAAATCGGCGAAAGGCGAAAGACGAAAGGCGAAATTTTTCAATTTCCGCTATGAGTCTAAGATTTTTTGGTCAAGTAATTTAAAAGCCTTATTAAGTGTTCCAAATCTACAGATAACTTTCTTAAATCAATTAATTGGAGATATCAGGGAATTTGTAGGATTAAGAAGGATATCAGAAGATATCCTTCTGTATCCTTTATATTGATATCGTGGATGTAAAGGGAAGTTAGAGGATATGCCAGGAAAAATTTGACTTTGATTTTTTTATTTTCCGATGGCTTCTCCCTTCGTTGTCTTGAAAAGGGTCTGAGAATCCTGGGAAATCCCTGGATCCTGATTCGAAAGTTTAGAATATTCGGATGCCGAATAGGAATTTTATTAAAGTCGTGAAGTTTCCGGTAACCACTATGATTGAAAATAACTTGTATTAATCTATTTCAGCGCCGCAGGCAAAATTTTTGAGAATTTTGGAAGCCTTAGCAGCCAGACTTCTTCATTTTTCAGCGCCGCAGGCAAAATTTTCAAAAATATACGGTGTCTAATGCACGGAAAATTAAATTTTTAAATTAAAAAAATATTTTTTTCAAAGACACTGTGTATCCACAAATTTTTAGTTGATTTTATATATTTTGAAGGTTTTTATTTACCAAAAATAGTTTAAAATTCTTCCAAAATTATTTATCAAAAATACCATCAAAAAATAAAAATGTATATGTAGGTCGGCAATATTTTAAAAATCCTTTATGTCACTCGAAAGTCACTATCAAAATGCCCTTTTTTACTTTAAATAATAATTTGGGGAGGAAATGAAAGGAAAAAAAGATTTAAATTTGATGAAAATAATACTTAAGCAATTTTGCATTAGGCAATTAATCAATCAAATTTTTTGCCACCTGTAAAAGGTTTTTTTTGTTTCTTCAACCACTTCCAAAAACTCTTTTCCCTCTCTCTACATATTTTCATAATTAAATATTCAAGTAAATGTAAAGAAAGAAGAATATTTCTCTACTTTTCTTTTTTATTCACTTAATTTTTAACTTCCGGTAACATACTTATTTTATTCAAAATTCTCAGAGTGGCAGTTTTGGATTAATTTTTTATTTAAAAAATGGAGGGCAATTTTTAGTTTATTTTTTAATTTTGATTATTAGAACGATTGCTGCAGAAATTTAGAAGATTTCACAAATATCTTGATAACAATGAAATTAATTATTACAAATTAAATGTCAAAAACTATTTATTTAAAATTAAAACTCGTTAATTTCTAATTTTAATATGAATTTATATTAAAAATATATTTTTAAATTAAAATAATTTAAAAGAATAATTTTGTGTTTGCTTATATTTTGGGCCATATAATAGTTAGAGGGTCCGCCTTTGATTGTTTACATTGTAAGAGAAAGCTAAATAAAAGTAAAAAATAAAATCAATAAAAATAAATTATTTTTAAAATTATTTTATTTATTTATTTTAAATCCATAAAAATTTAAAATTTAAATTATGGCAAAAGAGAATGATCCATTTAAATGCCTGCGATGTGTTAGTATTGCTGTTGGAATTTGGAATATTGCAAGTCTTTGTTTTATTTAGAGTAGCTAATAAACGTTTAGATGAATTATACACAGACAGAAGTATATATGTACAAATTTCAGGGTTTCAAATACTGGGAGATTTAGGATCAAGAATTCAATAGGCCGGAGTTGTTTTTTAAGAAACATTATTGTTGTTTATGATTTTAATTAATTTTTTTGTTATAAATTACTTTAAGTCAAAAAATTTAACAATAAGTAATCGAATAATCCAGAAATAAGTAATCTATGATTCAAACAATCTATCTAAAAATTATATTTTTTATTGCCTCTATAGGTGCCTATTTTTAACTTTTTAATGCCTAAAAATCCTAGTTCTATTAATTACTACTTAATTAATTTAATTTATTTAATTAAATAAAGTTTTTAGATTTATTGTTTAATTCAATTTGGATTACTTGGTTGGCAAGTACAAGTAGTAAAAGAATGGCAATGGCATTGGGAAAATCGTGAATTACCTGCTACTGGCGCGTGAGCTAAAAAGAATTCCAAAAAATTTTTAATGACATTTTTAAAGAATTGATCAATACCAGGCAAGATTTCCAGGTCTTTATGCGAGGTATACAGAAACACCCGAAAGTAGAAAAATTAATGGTAATTTAGCAGCCAATAAAAATATACTTGAAAATAACTAGAAGTCTAAAATTATTCTTTAAATAAATTTTCGAAATTTTTAATTAATTCTTTATTCAGCCTTATATGCTATAGTGCTTATTTGTCTCGGATTAGCTATTTTCCATTTACCCAATTCAGTAGCAATGCTTTATGGCTGTAATAAAGTAAAAATAATTTAAAATTATTTTTCAAAAAATTATTTTAAAGTCATTCCCAAATTGGATATTTCCTTGGTTTTTTACTTCAATTCCTTTAATTATTTTATGTACAGTTTATTCAGTTCTTTGGTGGAGTGGAGATATATTTGCTGAACAATTAACTTTTTCTGTTTTTGAATTTATTATTTCTCTTGCTGCAAATGTTTTTATTTAAATTTGGAAAAAAAATATTTTTTTTAATTTTTAGGGAATTGGAGTTGTTTTAGTATTCCTTTATTATCAAAGACTTCGTGGTAAACTTCTCTCAGAAAGGACAGGCAATGGATATAAAATACCTTCAATTAATGAAAATAATATTTCTTCTACTAGACAATTAAGAATTAAAAATAATAGAAAATTGAAAAATAATTTAAATTTTGAACACCAATTACCACCATGGATTAAATCTTTGCCTAATAAACCACCAAAAGCTATAGAAAGAAAATTAAGGAGAAAAGAGAGGAAAGAAATGGAACTTGGAAGACGATATGAAATGAAAAAAAGAAAAAATAACTTAAATTAGCAAATAAAATGTATAAATACAATTGAATCTAATTATAATATATCCCTAATAATGTATATGACTAAGTTTGGTACTCGTAGATGTTGTCAGGCACTAGCTTGGGAAAGATGCCTAAGCATGGGTACTCTCAAGACCGATAATTTTCCAAGACTCAGGGCCAAAAAATGAGAGAAATCCATGTTTGTGACAAAATTTATGTATTAAGCGATAAAGTAGATTTGGGTGATTCGCTTCTTACAACCACTGGCACAATAGTTGCAATTGTCTTCTCTCACATCCTCTTATGATTAAATAGTATGAATTACTGAGGATTCATGCTTTTTCGGTTCTTAGTCACACCATACCATTGTAAATAGATAACATTTCTTCAAAATATAAAGTAAATATATCAATTAATATTTAATTCTTCTGAATCATTTCACAATTTTTATTTAATTTTTCACTTCTTCATCTTTCATTTAAATTACTTGAACCCGACAATTTTGTTTAATTTTCTTCTCTTTTTCCTCCATAAGCATTCCCTCCGTAAGCATTCCCTCCGTAAGCATTCCCTCCATAAGCATTCCTTCCATAAGCATCCTCTCCATAAGCATCCTCTCCATAAGCATCCGCTCCATAAGTATCCTCTCCATAAGCATCCTTTCCATAAGCATTTCTTCCATACGCAGTCCAGCCATAAGCATTCCTTCCATAAGCATCTGCTCCATAAGCATCTTCTTTATAACCATCCTTTCCATAAGCATCCTCTCCATAAGCATCCTCTCCATAAGCATCCTCTCCATAAGTATCCTCTCTATATGCCTTCCCTCCATATGCCATCCCTCCATAGGCCTTCCCTCCATAAGCCTTCCCTCCATAGGCCTTCCCTCCATAAGCCTTCCCTCCATAAGCCTTCCCTCCATAAGCATCCTTTCCATAAGAAACCTCTCCATTGGCAACCTCACCATAAGCATTTCTCTTTACTCTCTGTAAATCCTTTTCCATCATTTCTCCATTTTGTTTTATTTTTTCATCAATTAAAGTTGTATTAGATGATTCTTAAAATTATATCATTATTAAAATATTTTAAAATAATTATTTAAATATCTGGCTTAAACTAGGGTAGCATCCGACATACCCGCCCCGAAGGGTCGCGTTGCTACCCTACTTTAAATTTAAAAATAACACAAATATTTTCTTTGATTTATTAATTTATGTTTATTTTATTTTTTGTCTCAAATAAGTTTAATTAGCCAAAAATTTATTTATTTATTTTAAAAAATAAAGATTAATTTTTTTAATTATTTTTTCATTTATTTAAAATAATTTATTACTTACTTTTTATAATAAAAAATATTATAAAAACAATAAAAAATAAAATAAATAATTTTTGGGACATTTATTCTTCAATAATTCAATTAAATTAGAATTTTGAGTTCGTTTTTTGTTTTCCAAAATCCTTATTGCCGAAATATTTTTTTATTCAAATTCGTACCTGAAATTTCCAATTTGTTTGAGCATTAGGCCATTTACTCATCAAAAATGGAAATTCTCAAAAATAAATTCGTCATTTTTGGCTAATTTAATGAGGAATAAATAGATTATTGAATAAAAATTAATTTTAAATAATTAAAACACAAACTACTAAAGCTCGAGGTGATTGAGTTTGCCAGTCGAATATTTTTTAAATTTTAAAATTTACTTACCGAAAACTACAATGCCCCCTCCATTAGAATGCCCCCATCTAATAGAATGCCCCTTTTGAAGGTGATTGAAAAATAGAATGCCCGGGCATTCTATTAGAGGAATTACGGTATTCCTAATAAAGAAAACGCATAAAATTAAACTTTGATATGCAAATAAAAATATTTCTGAATTAAATATTGCAATTATTTTTTTGCATGATTTTAAAGTAATTTCTTAAAATACTTTATGATTTGCAGTATATTTGATATTGGTTTTCTCTTTATTTTTTTTCTAAATTTTTTATATTAATAGTAGAAGAATTTTAGGTCTGGAATTAACCAAAAATTAGATTATGTTTAATTTATTAATTTTTTGGTTAAGGATTAAGATTAAAATAAAAATCAAAAATTAAACTTTTATTAATAATAATATTTGTCTAAAATTATTAAATATTGTTTAATTATTTTTGTTTTTATTTAAATATTGTCTTAAATAAAAATCAATCCACACAATTTTAACCTTGTAAATAAATAAAACTATTTCAAAATATAAATTCTTAACAATTAATTTATCCATTTAACAATTGAATATACTAAAATGTAAAGTAAATATATCAATTAATATTTAATTCTTCTTAATCATTTCACAATTTTTATTTAATCTTCTCACTCCTTCCAATTCTCATTTAAATTCCAAAAAATCCACCCTTTTCCCCAACATTTTGTTTAATTAAAATTTTGTCTTCATCATTATTTTCTTCTTCTTTTTCTTTTTTATTTTCATTTAAATTTCTCTTTTTTCGGTTTTTATTATAAATTGTAATTGTCCCTCCAGAACCTCCAACATGTTGATTAACTCTAAATTCATTATGATTCCCACCATGTTTCTTTGGGTGATGACCACCCTCATTTTTATCAGCTTCTTCCTTCTCGCTATCATCAATTCCTTTTTCATCTTCATTATCTTCCTGTTCCCCATCATCATCAGCTTGTCTGCAAAATAAAAAAAATTTTTTTAAATAACTTTATTGTACATTTTTTGAATTGATATTTATAAACTTCAAAATTTTTAAATTTAATTATAAAGAATAATTTTTTTCTAAAATTTTTTTTAATAATTTACCTTTTTCTTCTGTTTTTGTTAACAAGCATAATCGAACCCTTTCCTTTCTTAACATCTTGTGAAATCGCAAAAATATTTTTATTTCCCCCACCATTTCCTCTTCCATTCTTTCCCCATTCTTTTTCAGCTTTTTTATTATTTTCTTCATCACATTCAATTTTCTTATTTTCTTCTTCTCCAATATCTTCTCCTTCTCCCCAATTACCAATCCCTTCATCCCCAACTTCTTTATCACCTCCATAATCATCGGCTCCTTCTTCTTCTTCTTCTCCCCAATCCCCATCTCCCCAACCATTCTCGTCTTCTTTATCACCTTCATGACCATCGTCTTCTCCTCCTTCTTCTTCATCCCCATCTCTCTTTACTCTATGTAAATCCTTTTCCATCATTTCTCCATTTTGTTTTATTTTTTCATCAATTAAAGTTGTATTAGATGATGATTCTTTAAAAAATTTAAATAATTTTGATTTATTTTTTTATTTTTCGACTTTATTGTTTCTAAAGATTTAATTTTAATTAATTATTTTTTTTATTTAAAATAATTTGTTACTTACTTTTTATAATAAAAAATATTATAAAAACAATAAAATAAATAATTTTTGGGACATTTATTTTTTAATAATTAAATTAAATTAGAATTGTGATTTCGTGTTCTGTTTTTCAAAATTTATATAGCCAAAGTCTTGACTTTTTTATTATTCAAATTGGTACTGAACTTTCCCATTTGTTTGAGCATTAGGCCATTTACTCATCAAAAAATGGAAATTCTCAAAAATAAATTCGTCATTTTTGGCTAATTTAATGAGGAATTCAAATAGATTATTGAATAAAAAAGAATAAAAATTAATTTTAAATAATTAAAACACAAAATTTTAAAAAAGTATGACTAAGTCCTTTTATTATGATTAAATTAATAAAAAATATTTTTTTTAATTTATTATTAATGAAGAAAAACATTTAAAATAAATTTTGATAAATAAAAATATTTTGTAATTAAATATTAAAATATCAAATCTATTAAAAATATTTTTTTCTAAATTTCATAAATATGTATACATATACTATTATCAGAAACTTATGAAGAACTAACTGTCTGGAAAACCATCAGAACTTTTTATTATTTATTTTAATCTTAATTTTTTGTTAAAGGAATAATAATATTTTTATCGAGTTTTTCAATTTAAAAATTAATTTTTATTTATATTTCAGATTTTCAAATTTTGATTTTAATTAAAAATCAAAATACAAAAAAATTAAATTCTTATTGAAATTTCTCTGATTTAATTAAATATCCAATTATTTTTGTTTTTATTTAAATATTGTTTTAAATAAAAATCAATCCACAATTTTAAATAAATAAATGTAGTAAATACTCCAATAGCAAATCCACCAGAAGAAATAGAACAAACAACTTTTTCAGAAAAAAGTTTTAAAAAAGCAATATGAATAAGTTGGAAAATAATAATTAAAAACTAAAAAAATTAAATAAATTAAATTAAATATACTTGAATAATTTGTAACGTAGTTAATGATTGAGGTATAATTTTTGGAAACCGAAATGAAAAGCAGGTTAGCATATAATAACTAAAAAATAATTTTTTAATATAGGTAAATATTCTATAATTTAACGTATATGCTCTAATAATTACCCTGGGTAATTATTGTTTCAACCTCTCGCTGGAAGGGGTAATTAATGGAGCATATACGGTAGTTCAAAAGATATCTACTTAAAAAATTTAAATAAAATCAAAAAAGTTTTTTAGAAAAATTAAATTTTTGGTTAAATTTGTGGTAAAATTATTCTTAATATAAAAAAAGTATAAAAATATCAAAAAAACATTTGAAATTACAAAAAATATTTATAATTTATATAAAAATATTTAATTTTATTTTTCTGTTAAATTATTGAAATAAGAATGCCTTTAAGCTAAAATTATTTCCTATGAGTAGTATATAGTAGCCAGTTAAAACAATTTCTAAAAACAAAATTGTTTTAACTAGCTACTAAAAAGTCTAAACAACAATAAAGTAATTATCTGTAATAGATTCAGAATTTATAAGAATTAAATGTTTATTAACAAATTAAGTTTAAAAAATAAATTAGAAATTAAATTATGAATATTTACTAGTTTTATTAAGTTTAAATAAAAAACAGAAAAAAATAAAAAACGCAGAAGATAAAAAGCAAATTAATTTTAAAGATTTTTGTCAACAAATTTAACTAAAAATTAAATTTTTAATTAATAAAAAATATTTAAGTGTAGAGAGAGAAGATAATAACCTTTAAATTATTACTTTTAATAATTTCTATTAAATTCCTATAACTTTATATTTCTTTCATTTATTGAAGGAGTGACTAATTCTTTATTTTATTTTAATCAGAAAAATTTTTTATTTTTCCGTTGTTTTAATACACGTTTCCATGCTTTTTGGAGAAGGCGAAAATAAAGTAATATGGAGAGAAAAGAAAATTTTTTATAAGTATTCTGGCCCAAAGTAAGGAACATGAATGTCTTTGTAGCCCTTTAAAAAGAATAATTTATTTTAAATTTATTTTAAAATAACACCTTTAGCCAATAAGTGGTTTGTTTGCCTTTTCCTTTCATTTCTACTTCAACACGTAATTCTAATTGAAAATCTGAATTTTTAGCAAGAATTTATCTTGTATCAGAAGAAACGTGGATACGAAGAGCTTTAAAATAAGAACTGGTTATAAAAAATAATCTTTATTTACGTAATCCATTGCTTTCCATTCTACTTAAAATATTTATTGTATCCCCAAACAGACAATATCTAGGCATTTTAGATCTAATAAATTCGGCTACAACAGAACCTAAAAAAGAGGGAAAAATAATTTGTAAATTAATCTTTTGCCTGAATGAATTCCAATTCTTAATTTTAATTGTTCATTGGGTCTATGCCTTATTGTAAAATTTTTGACTTTATGTGATAAAGCAAGAGACATCTAAAAAATAATTTAATTTTTATTTCCAAAAATTCTCTCTTTACTTGTGCAATTTGAGAAACATGATCATCTCTCCTTTCAGGCAAACCAGAAACAACCATATAAGCATCCCCAATAGTTTTAACTTTATAAACTTTAAGATTATCAACAACGCTCAGTTTTTAATATATGTTTGCCCTGTAAATTAAATTATTTGACAGAAAAATTTAAAAGGAGCTTGGACAAATAATTTTTTATGTAAAAACTAAACAAATTGGGCAAAGTAAACAATCGAAGTATAGTAATTTTTCTACAATTTCACAAAAATTTTTAAAACTCAATTAAAACTAATTTAAAAAAAATGACTAAAACAATTCGCTTGAAGAAGGATTTTCTGTTGTGATTCGAAATATAATTAAAATTTTGAGAAATAATCTCTCAAAATATTTTTTCTAAAAATAAAATTAAAATTAACAAAAAAGCTCACAATCTGTCATAAATCTTTTGACGTCGCTGTAAATATATTTTTCATGTTTCTATGTGATAAATTTTGGTTTTGTAATTGTTCTAATAATTGTAATTCTTCCTCTCCTTGTTTTACTTACAATTCTCTTGTTTTTCTTAATTCTCGACGTTGTGCTGAATGTTTGGCCAAACTCTCCCATAAGTGTCGAAAAAATCAAATTCTAATTAATTTAAATAAAAGTGCAAAAATTAGTGAATTGGTTAACATCGGTTATATAGAATGCAATTAAAATTCTAAAAATGGATAAAAATTAAAGGAATGCTGTGTAAAAATCTTAAAATTAAAAATATACAAATAATCTATAGAGTGAATCCAAACTGAATAAAGAGAATTGAGATTATGAAGAAGGGGGGTGGAGGGTGATTGGAAAACTTTGTTCATTTTTTGTTGTTTCTTTGAAGGACAAAAATAGTTCTTTTTTAAGGATAAACTGACAAATAATTAATGACACATAGTCGTTAATATAGTGATTAAGTGGCATTTTTTACTGAAAAAACAACTGAAGAAAGATATCTTTGCCCTTTTTTTGTTTATATATATATTTTTAGAATACAATTTATGCAATTATGCGGTGATTGACTTTATTACTCACTGGAGAAAATCACAACACAATACATAAATTGTATTCCAAAAATATCTCTAAACAATAAAATGACAAAAAATGGCAAAAAATATGGCAAAAAATAAGAAAAAAATGTAAAAATTTTGTATATAAAATGAAGAAAAATGAAAAAATATATTATTCTAATAAATAAAAATACTTTTAAAAAATAAAACTTTTATTTTAATCCAAATATTTTTTGTGAGGGGTATCTTATATTGAAGTGTATATCTTATATTGAGGGGTATCTTATATTTAGGTTTTTATTATCAATAATCAGTTGCTATATCTAATAATGAAGATGTTTGGTAAAAGGAAGAGGATGACCGCTTTGCAAAAAGCTGAGAATAGATTCCGTATTCAAATGGATCGTACCGTCGGCGGGGAGATGTACTTGAAAAAAATACGGAACCGACATATTCGTTGTCATATGTGTGAAGGGCGTGTTGGTAAACAATACATTAAGCACGTCTACGGGCATCTTGAAGGCAAAAAGCTGTACAAGTGCCCGACGTGCGACGAGGTATTCATAGGGGCATCTTTATTAGAAATTTAATTTAAAGGGAAGCCATATAAAGAAAATGGTCAAATTACACATGGATCAATGCCATCCTGAAAAAGGAGGGATGGCATCGGTAGTTGACTGTAGATATATATATATTGGGCTAATTCGGGTAACATTTAATTTGTTTATTTTATAATATTTAAAAATTTTTCAGGATACAGTTAAAGAGTGCTTCCCTTTGTTATTTGTTAACATTGCGCCTCCGAAGATTTTAGTAAGTCTAAAGTAAAATTTATATAATAACTAAAGAGAGGGGATATATCATATTTTAGGGGCACCTTTACACTTAGTCTTTGTAATTAAGATACATTATTTAATGCTGATTCGAATGGTATATCAAATCCTCCAATCGTACATATTCTCATCGAGAAAATCTACCTTGAAGATTGTCATTAAAAAGTAAATTTTTTAAAAAGGATGTGATTCAGCAAAGATCCGACCACTTTGATCTTGTTTATGATATTTTAGAATATGAGAAAGAGAAGAAAAAGAAAAGGGAAGAAAAAAAGAGAGAAAAGGCGAGAGCCCGAAGTTTAAGTCCTCCGAAATGCCGGCGTGTGCACTTTGCCGATGACGACCATTATGGTGGATATTAAATATATATATATTAATTTATATTCATGTATATTTAGATCCTGCAGTCGGGCCTCGCTTTATGCCTTCCTCGGATGAAGATGGTGAAAAATTAAATTTATAAGCATTAAGTGTGTTCTTTACTAGTACCACCCCCCTTAGTTGAAAATTTTTGATTTTGCAAGTAGCGTAGCATTGTCGGGAATTATAGCTTAGAAAAGAATGTACCTACCGTATTTTCTCGATTAAAGCCCCTCCCTCGATTAATTACCCATGTCAAGGAAGGATTGAAAAAATAATTCCCCAGGGGAATTAATCGAGAAAATACGGTAACCATCATAAGACAGACATTATTAAAAATAAATTTTTAGATTGATACATGAGAAAAAGAAGGGGAGAAAAAAGAAAACTAAAGAATTAAATGTTTTTTTAAAATGATTAAAGTAAAAAATACACATGCTTTATTTTTATGGCCTTTTTTAACAATAGTATATATACAAGAATTAATTAAATTTTATTGTAAAGACACCGTTTTTCCTTCCAAAAGTGATCAACCACACTTACTCAATTTCACTTTAAAATCGGTCGCTTATATTTCCCAATAATGTTTTAATTATTTATTAATACCACCTATTAAATATGCCTCAACGAATTAGAGTGAAACAGAGGAAGGAAAAAAGGCTGCCTAATTTGACATATTTTTTGATTGACAAAAAATTTTTCCTTAATTAAATTAATTTTTTCAAAAAATATTTCCACAAAAATTTTTCCTCCATTTTTGCAAAAGCAGGCCAACCATTTATCATTCCATTAATTATAAAGGTAATACAGGCAAATAATAATTTTTGTAGAAAAATTCGAGTGAAGGAAGTTGCTCAATTTGAATCAGTAAAGAATTGGGAAGAGGTGATGGAGATGTTGCTGTTGGAAGGCTTTAAAAAGAATTTTTGTTAACAGAAAGGAAAATTTTATTAGGTTTACCGTTATATTCTCCTAGTCCGCAAATTTTGTCCGCAAAAATTCAATTGACGTCAAAGGCGAGTCTTTGATTTTTAAGTTTACTAGACCCTGGATGAACCGGGAAATAGTCGAGAAGGGGTTTTTTTTAAGTTTCTTCAGATTTCATTTCGGATCGAAAAGGTCTGGATTTTGGGAAGGGCGAAAGACCCATTAAAAATCACTCCAGAAAAAATACACATACAAGCTACAAAGGAATATAAAATTTGCGGGCAAAAATTTTTGCGGACAACCCGAAAAATCCGTGTAAATAATATATTTAAAAAATCATTAAAAATAAAAGAAAAACCTGTTGATTATTTTGTGTAAATAATTCAGGCGGTGGAGGTAAAAATAACAGCAAAGTTGAGAAGCAAATTTTGAAAGGCTTTCATCCTCCAAATCACGGCCCTTAAGTAATCCTTCATCACAGAAACGTAAAGACGACTTAAACGAAAAGGTTTTTAATTAAGAAAAAATATGTAGATTTTTGAAATTTCAAAAGGGTAAGAACAAAAAGGTAAAAAGTCAAAAATTCATTTAAAGAATTCCAAATGAATCAAGTCAGACACGTCTAATTTTAGTTAGAAATGAAATATCATGGCTTTAAAATAAATCTAAAAATAAATACACCCATGAGGGTTCGAACCCACGACCTCCCTTAATTTATAAATAATAGTCATTTAATCAAAGAGAATTTTTAAATTATTTTAAAATAAAAAATACCAAATAATCTTCACATAAAAAATCCAATTTAGCCATAAGTGCACACAAAAAAGAATAAAATAAACGCAAACGATCAGGCACATTTAAGAAATGTCCAGTATTTAACCAGGAATCACAAAGGCGTTCTAATTGATAAATGTTGACACGAAGTGAATTTAGAGATTCTTTTGAAGGTTTTTCTAAAAAAAGTGAGTTAAAAATTAAAAAATAAAATTAAAAAAATAATCGGGGAAGAAGGGGGTGGCGGTCGAACCGTCTGGGAGAAAATATTTTTGAAATGGTTTTTTAAAATAAAAAAGGGTAGAAATAAATTAGATCGATAGATTTCTAAGTTATAAATTGAAAAAAAACTAAATAGAAAGCTAAAAACTTAAGTTAACTAATAAAGGGGGGGGGGTGAAAGTTCGAACTCGTTCAAGGCTCTTAAATATAAATTTACCCAGAATTTCACTAAAAATACGACTATAATTTTAAAAAAATAATTTAAAATTAAAAAAACCTTCACTTTTCCCATTTGCCAATTTATCCAATTCTTTAGCATTTCAACAGCTACATTCATTATCCATAGGAAGGCCATTAAAGGGTTTGTACAAAACAGGATGGAATTCAGCCAAATTACTTAAATTGTGTAAAAGCATTGGAATTTTTTGGAAGATCAGACATACTCAAATTCTAAAAAATTGTTGAAAATTTTTGGAGTGAAAATGAGCAAAAATCTAAAAAAACGGGTAATCCTTACTTTTATGGCAGGTTTCAAATTTATCAAAATAGTACTTTTTTCCCAATTTTTTAGGGGCCGGTAAAAGAAAGGATTACCAAAAAACATTAAATAAAGCCACTTAACCAAGAGTAAAAAATCCGCTAAATTCTTAAATAATAAAAAACAAAAAGGAAAAAGAAAATTTTAAAAAATATTTCGGGCTATTAATTATTTATCAGGCGTTATATAACTTTTTTGATTCCCAACCGATTTAAATAATTATTATTCAAACGAAAGCTCTGGATGTAAGGATATGTTAGCTAACAGGATTAATTTGATCAGACCATTCTACAGAAAGTTACAGCCGAATTTCACAAAAGGAGATGAACATCCTTATATTGAATGAGTTATTAAAAAGTATTTCAGTTAATTAAATGTGACAAATATAAAATCAATAAAGAAGGTGGGATTCGTTGTAAAAAATAAATAGATGTTAAAGTGTAAAAAATTAAATTAAAAAGGGCAATTAGACATCGGACAATTGGCCAGTCTTAGATTTAGACATCGGACAATTGGCCCGTCTCGAAAAATATAAATTTTTTAAAAATGTTGATAAATCTTGAGTTATGGTTCGTGCCAAGCGCGAATTTTTTGAAACACGCCAAGCGCACAAATAGCTAAAAATAACGCCAAACGCCAAATTTTCATGTGACGCTAAAAGCCAAATTTTTAGATATTAAAACGTGCAAAACGCAAAATTATTAAATTGTGAAAACGCAAAATTTAAAAATTTTTAAACACTTCCAATTCCAAATGGAGAGAGATTTTAAAATACGCCAAACGCCAAATTTTATGCGACGCCAAAAGCCAAATTTTTTAATTTTAAAATGTGCAAAACGCAAAATAATCAAATATTAAAAACGCCAAACGCCACATTTTCCGCGCCAAAAACGCTACTAGGAAAAAATACAAAACGCCAAAATGTAAAAAATAATAAATTAAATAAAAATAATAATAAAGCATTAGGCCAGGGATATTTTGGGAAAGTGGCAACTGAATAATGTTAGAAGGGTATGGGGTGTTTATATAGGAAAATTTGTGACCATCTGTTTATAATGTTTATATCCTGACTGAGCAAAGTACACTGAGTGATTAATGTATTTTTGCACAAAAGTTGGGATTTATGTTTATAAAAAATAAAAATTGTGCAAAAGAAAGTGAATCACCATGTCAAGATGCTGATTAATTGCAAAAATTGTGCTAAATTTAGTAACAAACTTGCAATAAAGTGAAAATGAGCGGGTAATTAATCAATCAAGGCCAAAATTTGGGCTGTCAGGACTCATATAAAAGCAGGCCCAAAACCGCCTAAAGGTTCATTCTGCTTTCACATTCAACATTTAATAATAGCCTTACCCTCTCCTAGCTTAATATCCCCCTCTCCAATTTAATTATATCCTTATACATTCTCCCTCTCCTAAAATTGAATTTTCAAAATTATTTTATTTAAATCTTTAATTTTTAAACTTAAAATTTTTGTTTATAAGCTGTTGACACAGTTAACTTTGCAATATTTAATATTAATAATACAATTTTAATTTATTGTGCCCTAATTTTCGATTGTATTTTTTAAATTCATGTTTATATAATCTTTCATAGTTTGACTTTTCATATTTTAGTTTCGCATATTATTTCATTAGAAAAAATTCTGATGGAACAAATAGTTGATACGACAATCAAAAATGGTAAATGATAATACGTGTTATTATTTAATTTAATAATATGGCTTATCATTTACAGGCACGGCTGATGCCCCAATTATAATTGATGAGAATGCTGGGACGGAGATGTGTGTGGATAAGGGTTGCGAAGAAATTCAAAGTGAGGCAAAAACTGTACAAGAAGATTCGGCATTAGAAGGTAAATATTAAATATTTTTGATTGAAACAAGAAATTCAGCTTCAATGACGGCATCGGAAATTCAAGAACTACGCTCTTTTATATTAGAACACAAAAAGAAAAAAGAAGCTGCAGAAGCACGTCGACGACGTTCTCTTGAAAAATCGAGTTCTACTTTGAGTTCTGGTTCTTCAATCAAGGCACCGATCGCAAAGAAGTCACAAACCAAGTCGAATAAAAAAATGGGAAATGTTTCAAGAAATACTTTTGACGCTGTTATTAAGGTTGAAAAATTTTCGTCAATAATTTAAATTAAATATTTTAGTCAATTATTGAACGAGCAACCGGTCAAAAGTCTAAACATTCAAAGGAACAAGAGCATGATCATGAAGCTATTCTTGAAGCGGTTATGGATTATGAAGAGGAAGAGGATGAGTCTGATGATCCAGATCCGAATGCGGTTATTTCTTTGGGCGAGGATGAAGATGAATACAATCGAAGACGAATCGAACGTAAGTTTGATATTTTTTAGTTTCAAAAGGTTTTGTTAAAAAACCTTTCAAAAGGTTTTTTAGGTAAACAACGCGCTGAACAATTAGTTCCTGAGGCATTACTTAAGCGTGCACAGGTGCTTAAAGTACCGCGCCAAGGAATTTTCATTCACCAATGCAACGACTGTCGAGAAACGCAGAAGAAACGACAAAATTTTCTTTACAAAGCAGGAAATGCTATAAATCTTATGCTTACATTCGAATTGTGCGCAGAGGACCTCGACAAAAATATAAACCTAGGGGCGTATTATGCTCTCTCTTGGGGTATTACATAATTATCAAATGATCTAAAAATTTTTAAAAGGTTTCAAGGAAATGTATGAAACGCCTGAGGAACAAGCGTCCAGCTTTTCAAAATGTAAGAAAAGTATAAAAATTGAAATTATTGAAGAAATTTTTAAGCTGACGGTGTTTTATACTTTCAAAGGGGTGCAAATATTGCTTCAGGAACTGATTATAAGCTATTGAGCTTAATGAAATATTGTTGGATCTTGCATCAGGTAAAAATTTAAATTAACTACGATTTATTTTAAAACTTTAGTGCGATAAATGTATCGCTCTTCAGAGGTCCTTGGCCAGTGACATGTTTTTGCAAAAATGTGGGGAAAAATATGAGCTGAGTTTCATGGTAGATGTTCAAAAAATTTTTAAAATTAATTAAATTTTATAGGTTTGCGAGGCCTGTAAGGACATCAATAAAGACTACCAACAGAAAACTTTTAATATGTTTAGCAATTTTAATAAGAAAAAATGAATATTGATAACTATAACATTTATTGAATAAAGGCTATTTTTTAATGGAAATTTTATTTTTCATTCGTTTTATCGAATTTTATCTTTTAATTTACTAATTCATCTTTGGAATTCTTTATAGCAACAAATCTTTATCTCAAATATTACAACTCGTTTTGTGCAATAAAAGGTTTCGTTTTATTCTTTTTAATTTTACATTAACTTTCAGATGGATCAACATGTAGCGGATATTGCACTTGAAGAACTCAAAGAGAAACGTACTCGTCTGGCGAGAAAGCTTGTGCAGCTTCATGGTGCAGAATATGATGAAAAGCAACTTAAG